ATATCAATCACAATTAAGAGCACCGGCACATGGGGCTGGAGGAGAGCAAAGTCAGGTGATACCACAGAAAAAGGTCGACACAACTCTTTTCAATAGTTTCGCAGTGTCTATTCTTCAGGATTTTAGGTACCCAAAAACCAAAGACCAAGTGAAGTTAAAGCTTTACACTGGATTTTCTATGGTTGAATCTAAGTTGTGTTGTTCCTTTTTGTTTTCCTTCAGCATGCTTGCTTTCTCTCCTTCTATCATCCTCCACCTGCCTATATCAGCATCAATTTCATAGACATCAATAAACAAACAAATTTTGAAACACTAATTATAGAATCCACAGTTAGTTGCTAACATTATCTGTAAATTACTCTATTCTTTTCCTTCCAAGCATTGGAAGTTCCAATAGGCACATTCCTATTTACATACTAGTGTTCGGCAAAACTTTGACGGGCACATATACAAAAAAAGCATAAAGGCATACATAGTGAATGTAAGGCAGAGTGATTCAAGTAAAAGATCAAAGTTTTATTGAATCTTCATTGTCAATACCAACTGAAGCATGATGAAAGAATTATGAAAAATTGCTATTTGCATAACATGGATTGGTGTCCTATGGAAATGAAATCGTTAAATAATAAGTCCATGTTGTTTATCCTCAGAATTGATGTGTCCAATCTGGATTATATACAAGATTATTCTGACTTTTAAAGAAGACGATATCTACATTTGAATTGCATGTTAATGGTAGCGACATCAATAATGACGAGTCCATTCTTTTCGAGAAGCTTCATTCCAGAAAGGCAGGCATTTATCATGCATTTTAGCACTGTATAACAAACGGAGTTTTACATTCACATTTTTGTGCACATAATTCTCCCTAGATCATGTGTAGCCAGTGATATGAGAGATTTGATTATTTTCAAGTCTATAGTATTGTCAAATCAAAGGGTTAAAGGAGTGAAATCTTGCAAGTTAACCTATGTAAAATGTAATTCTGGTAAGAGCTTACTAGAGAAGTCATGTGCTATCGAGCATGCCAGCCAGGAATAGATTTTGGGACAACCAGAATTGTATTTGAGGCCTTTTCCAACCTGCAGAAAATCAGTAGCTAGTATCATGGACTTTATTTTGGCCTAGAGAGAGAGAGAGAGAGAGCACTTTGAGATACTTTGAGATTTCTTCAACAGCCTTCATAACTTCTGAAGAACTTGTCTCAAGAACTTGACCACCCAACACAATTTCATCTAAAATAGTATGCACCTGCCAAATCAGTTACTGGACCACTGAGTGCCGAATGTTGAACATGACATACACATGCTAGCACATGCATGCTTGTACTTAATATATAAAACAAGAGAGAAGATCCTCAAATGTAGAAGAGCAGAAAAGGGAGCTTTATACATGTATATATATATATATTTTTTTTAAAATTACAGAAGCTGAGTAAGCACTTGTCAAAATGACATAGGCTAGGACAGCACATTCAAGGTTAACAACTTGCCAGCTTCACATAAAGGTGACACAATATTGCTAGATTTCATCTCGAGAGTTTGGAAAAGATTATGCATAAAAGAGGGCAATGACACCAGCAACACCTAGTTCAGACTTAAAAATAGCTAGCATCGTTCATGAGCTCAAAAGACATAGTATGCACTGAAAGTGAACTTTTCCACATTGAAGAAGTCGATATTGATTTTTTACCATTGACTTCTGCTTATTCTTATTGTTAGGTTAATTAATAATACTAACTCATCAAGACGCTATTCCCACCAACAATTTCATAAGTTGTTTGTAAAACTGAAAATTTAGCAGATTAATCCATAGGTTGAATCCACATCCCAAATGTTAACATGAAATGATGATAGGACGGTGGACCTCTGGAAATCCCAAGAAAAGCCGAAATAGGTCTCTGTTACTGATGATCAGCTCATTGGATGTGCTACCTTCGTGAAAACAAATCACACTGAGCCCGACCAGTACATTATAAACTGAGAAAGCTAGTTCAATTGCAACCCAGAATGATGCCTTGTCAATTTGATCTCCATTACAATTTTGCTAAAGACATGCTCCTTCACATGAACTTGGATAAAGAGAAAAGAGCGAGGCCAACCTTGTTAAAGTTGAAGACAATGTCGAGCTCACACACATTACTGAAACACTTGTCCAATGTCTCCACAAAAACTGTGAATGCCAGAAAGTTTAAGGAAACAAGATATCCAACTAGAAAACAATGTGGCAGTGAAAAGTAAATACGTATCATGCTATTGACCAGTTCTGAAGTTCTTTCAGGACATCCAAGAAAAAGACTGTTTATGTTATTTAGTACTTTCAAGATATGTAAACAAATTATTGACTACTCTTGCTTCCCATTTGACTCAAAACCCACACAATTACAGATTGAGCAACAGCTGAATGACCTTGAAAGTCTAAGTTTGTCTTAACAAGGTCAGGCAACAAGAAGAAAGCAGACCAAAATAAGTTATACTACTAACCTAGAATCAAAATGCATGGAACATGGAAACAAAAAAAAAGGAAGAAGCAATTTATGACATGTACTATGTACAAGCTCTGACCATCCAGCTAGGAAATGCCCACCCAAGAGTTAAGACCCCCTCAACTGAAGGACATGACCTAAACCATGGGTGCATAATCACATCTCTTAGAAAAGGTCGGAACAGTATGCATTTTGTTAAAATGTGTGGTGATTATAGAATGTGAGAATAAATGACTGAAAGATGAACAAACCGGTGCCCGCGCCAGTTTGCTATTATTCTTAGAGTTGTTCAGCCATAAAATAACTTGAACATCATTCATAACTACAAAAAGCACTCCTATGGTAACAATTAGCTATTTTGGTAAACTTGTACACCCTACAGTGGCCTTCAAGACCTTATAACCTTCCCTGAAGTAATTTATGTATTTTAATATTTGAGGATAATCTTTCCATGTACCTTGCATAAGATCTAGCATTGCTAGCTCATTTTCGGCACTATCAAATATGAATACAAAGTATAGCGTGTCATAAGTCTTGTACACAAGCTGAGCATCCTGCAAGTAAGGGACCATAGAAACATAAATTTACTAGCTCTTTTAACTGGGAACTAGTTAAGAAAAAAAATAAAATAATGACAAGCATGTCATGTAACTTGGATGCCAAGGGGGTTATTAAGCCATCAACACAAAAACAAGCCAACTCATAATTTAGAGTAATATTCTAAATTTAATTTTTGGGCAAACTTCACTTTATCCCTCTGTGGTTTGGGCCATGTGCAGTTTACCTCCTAATGTTTGAAAATGACTACATAACCCCCACGTGGTTTGTGGACTGAAATGCACCATTAACATTCCGTCCAATTTAACAATAAGTGTGAAACACATAGCAAATTTAAGGGGGTTAAATGCTCATTTTCAATTTTCAAATGGGATAAATCACACATGGTATAAAACACGGGGGGTTAAAATGTACTTTACCTTCCAAACAAATGACCAAAACACAAGGGTATTTTAGTCTTTTTCATTAAATCGTTAACGGGCCTAACGATGCATTTTAGTCCACAAACCACAACGAGGTTATGTGGTTATTTTCAAACATTAAGGGGTAAGCCGCATATGACCCAAACCACAAGGGGCAAAGTGAAGTTTGCCCTTAAATTTTTGCAAGAAAAGTCGTTTTCACTCCAAGCAAGTTGGGAACAGAAAAAACTAGTTACACTGTTTTCTCTTTTGAAGGAACTAATTATAATTTGTCACTGCAAATCAGAGTTTTAGCAACTTTTTCTCACGGTTGGATTATTACAGACCTCGAATATAGTTATATGCAGTAGTTGTGAGTATGGTTGCATTACTAGTTCTCAGTCCTGAGAAGCCAATGGAGGAACAATAGGCATGCTGAATAGGAAAACAAAAACAGCTGGACCATGGAGCCAACGGAACCTTCATATCATGATCAATAACAAAATATGGAGATGTTCTTATTCTAAAAGCTTAAAGAAGTCAAATTGATCAGTGAATGGTATCCTACCTACCTAATCCAACAACATTGTTCAGTAATCATAACTCCATTTTTCAGCTTACTAAAAACCTACTCTGGTAAAAGCATGATAAACATATTTTGTTTAGAGAACTGTCCACAACATAATTGTCGAACCAGTTCACATTTACTCACTGTTGCCAACTATGATGCTCTCTAATCATTGATAAATGTATATATATGTATCATAGAAAAAGTAGAGTGATGAAAACAACATACTGGTCCAAAAATGGGATCAGCCTGAATAAAGTTGCTCACATTCTCAGCCCTACTGCACAGAACTGCATTATGAAAAAAATAAATAAATAACTGATGAAACACACACTAATGAATGATAATTTATTCAAATTAAAAAAATATTCACTATTTTTTTTATAAAACAAGATTTTGCTCTATGTTTGGATCTTTGATGGATGGAAAAGATAGGAAAAGTAATGTTAAACGAAAGTCAATGGAAAACATTTTCCATGGTCAATGGAAAACAAGCCTATTTGGGCAAAAAATATTTTCCACTTTTAAAAAGCAGAAAAAGGTCTTCTAGCCTAAAATTTTACCAATGTTACTACAACACCACCACCACTACTCTCACTTCCACCACCACACCCCCATCGCCACGGCCATTGCCACCATCACCGTCGCTCCACCACCCCCACCTCTACCTCCACCTTCATTCCCGATAGTATTATTTATATTAATAATAAATATTTGTGTGCCTTTAGCTGGTACAGTTTAAGGCACTAGGGGGTGGGTTGTTCTGTTGTGGAATGGGACACACCCCTCCTTTTAAAAGGACTGTGCCAGTAGTACAAGTTGGTTGTTGTTGTTTTTTTTGTTGTTGTTGTTGTTGTTGGATTAGGAAAATCAAAAGATAATAATAATAATAGATATTTGTCCACACACACCAAAAAGAGAAGGAAAAAAAAGTGTTCATTTACACAAAAAATGAAAACAATAAAAGTAATTTCTCATTTTTTTTTTATTATTACATTTTTTACGCCCAGACGGAGACACCACACGCACACACACACTCTCTCTCTCTCAGCCCTTTTCTTTCCTTTGACAGGCTCTCTCTATCTCTTCTCTCTCTCTCTCCCCCCAAAAAACCCTACCCATCTACCGACGGTGACAGCGATGGCGATGGCGATCTTCTCCATCGTCCTGCCAACAGCGGCGAACAACGATCTACACTTCTCCTCTACTTTCCTTTTCTTCTCCTCAATCTGTTCTGTTTTGTTCCAGTTCAAAGGCGATCTAATCTGTTCTATTCTTTTTTTTTTAAAAGAAATTTATTTTCTTTTTGTTTTGTTCCAGTTCGAAGATGAAAATGAAAACCTATGTTTTCTTTTCTTCTTTCCTCTTCTTCTCCTCAATCTGTAATCTTTTTTTTTTTTTTTTCCAGTTCGAAAACCTCTCTTTTAGAGTCTAATATGTTTTTTTTTTTTGTTCCAATTCTAAAACTAGAGAGGTGGTGACATTCACAGTGTGAGGGTTCTACACACAAAGAGAGGAAGCTTACAGAGAGCAAGCTTATAGAGAGAAAACCAGAGAGGTTTGGTTTCATTTTCTTGTTATCTGCAATGGATTTCGTAAGGGACTTCAAAGAAAAAATATTACTCCCTCCGTCCCAAAATATTAATCCCTTATTCCATTTTTCATTGTCCCAAAATATTAGTCCCTCTTTATAAATCAAGTACAAAAATAATGCAAATTTCCTATTTTGCCCTTCTTTTAAATTAATAAACAATTTAAAAAGTACAATTATGACATTGATATTCCCAAAAAATGTACTATCAAAAGGGTAATTTTGGAAAACCAACTTTTTTCAAATGCAATAAGTGTACTTCCAAAAAAAGTTGGATTTCCCAAAAGGGACCAATATTTTGGGACGGAGGGGGTAGATTAATTTGCATCCAAGAGTGAAAAAAATATTAGATTAATCTGTTCTGTTATTACACTGTATGTTGGACTTGTTGGACTTCTTATTCAATTTGCAATGGATGGCTATATCCAGTGTAGACTCAACACTGGGGACAGGACATGTTGTGTCTGTTTAGATTAATCTATTTGGGTTATCCTTTCTCTGATAAAGTGTGGCTGGAAAATCCTTCTAATGAGAGAGAGAGAGAAACCATAGGATTGTTGTTGTACGATTGATCTGTTGTTCCTCTAATTTTCTGAGTTCTCCAATAATGTTTGTATTCTTGACTACGACAAAATCATTATTTGTTTGGACTTGTGATGAGTGTAATGTAAATGAAAATGATGGTTTGAAAATTTTGGAATACCTCACTTCAATTTCAGATTTATTTGTTGAGATCTCTGCTAATACTATACACTTTCATTTTTGAGGCTTCTGTTTTGTCTTTGATATTTTGTACTTGTTCTTTTTATCTTCACTGTGATTTATGTTTTAATAGATTCATGAATTGCAATCAAGTGGAGATTTGCAAACAATCACAAAAAATTAAAGGAACAGCAGTGGTGGCATTTCAACTCGTAGTTCACTTGCTCTCAAGATGGTGGAGGTTCTTGCTTGTATACAAAATTGGCTCCGAAATAACATTCTAATATGCCTTCGACAAGCAATGGATGATGTTGAAGAATTTGAACAACAATATGATTCGGGTAATATACAATGATTTATTTTGTTTTAAATTTCATTTATTTTGTATTATTCAAGATTTATTATCTTCACTTCACATGATTTTGTTATATTATGTTTTATGTGTAGTTGTTTCGGAATCAAGTTCATGTTCAAGCACAAGCTCAAGCCCAAGCCCAAGCCCAAGTCCAAGTCCAAGTCCAAGTCCAAGTCCAAGTCCGGAGAGTAATTTTATTGAAGTTTAATATCATTGGTAAATACTTCCCTTTTGTTAAATGTTGTTCACATATGGTTACTTGTTTTGAGTTTAAGACTTTTTGGTGTTTTCCTTATTAAATAATTTTATTTTTTTGTTATGCAGGTTTAGATGGCTCATGGTTTGGCTCAAGGAAATGAATTGTTTTTTTACTTCTTTTTGGATGACTGTAATACTATTGTTTGGATGCACAATGTTTGATAGATGCACAATGTTTTGGATGACTGTAATTTTTTTTATTTTTTTGAACTCTTGTTTTGGATGACTTAAATTTGTTGGACTATGCCCACTGCCCAGGTTATTTTCATAACACATAGATGTGATTGTGAATATTTTCATAACTCTTGTTTTGGATGACTTTAATTTGTTGAATTATGCCCACTGCCCAGGTTATTTTCATAACACACAGATGTTATTTTCATAACACACAGATGTGATTGTCAATATTTTCATAACTCTTGTTTTGGATGACTTTAACTTGTTGGATTATGCCCCCTGCCCAGGTTATTTTCATAACACAGATGTTATTTTTATAACACAGATGTGATTGCGAATATTTTCATAACTCTTATTTTGGATGACTTTAATTTGTTGGATTGTGCCCACCTATGAAGCACGGACACGGACACGGACACGGGACACGGCAATTTCTAAAAAATGAGAACACGGACATGGCAGGGGACACGGCAAATTTTTAAATTTTTTTATAAATATTTTTATTTTAATGCACATTAATTATTTTATTTATTTATTATATTTTTTAAATAATGTGTTCTAATTAATTTTTTTATTTTATTTTACATATGTATTTATTTATTTATTTATTAATAAGTATATATTATTTTATAATATGTATTATATATTATCTTATAAGTATATTTATGTTATATAATAACTATTATATAATATATAATTATAATAGTTATTAGTTATAATATATAATAATAATAATAGTTATTATAATAGTTATTGTTATTATAATATAATAATAGTTATTATAATAAATAATAGTTACATATATTATACTCCTATATGGATAAAGACGGGGGAGACAGAAGAGACAGAGGGAGACAAAAGCAAAAGCGAGAGAGAGGGAGACCACTGATCGCGATTAGCGAGAGAGAGGAGACCAGCGATTGCGCGATCGCGATCAGCGAGAGAGAGGGAGACAGAAGCGATCGCGATCGCGAGGGAGAGAGAGAGAAGGCGAGAGAGAGAGCTCTGCAAATGCGAAGCCGAAGGCGAGAGAGAAAGCTCTGAGTTGAAGTGGACTGGATCGTCGAAATGGACTGGATGGAGGTCGATTGGCTCGAGATCGAAGGCTGAGAAGTCGCTGACCAGGTTTGTACTCATTTTCTCTTTCATTTACTCTTCTCCCGTGTCCCATGGCGTGTCCAGATTTGGACACGCGTGTCTCTGCCATGTCTCCGCCGTGTCCCTCGCAAAAAAATTAATTAAATTAAGGCGACACGCCAGATGCCGTGTCCCATACATGTCCCCGACGTGTCTCCGTATCCGACACCGCCACGGCTTCCATTTTGGCGTGTCCATGCTTCATAGGTGCCCACTGCCCAAGTTGTTTGTTGGATGCACAATTGTTTTAATTATGCCCACTGCCCAGGTTATTTTCATAACACATAGATGTGATTGTGAATATTGCATTGCCCATGTTGTATTTTTACCATGCCACGGCGTTGCCCAACATGCCAAGGCCGGCATGGCATGCCATGGCACGGCCTTAGCCAGTAGCATGGCATGCCACAGCTTTGGCCAACATACTATGCCACCGCCTTGGCAAACATGCCATGCTGGCCAAGGCCGTGGCACGGCATGCAGGCCAAGGCCGTGCCATGGCTTACCGGCCTTGCCATGCATGGCATCGCCATGGCATGGCATGGCATGCCAAGGCCAACATGCCACGCCACGGCCTTGCCCAGCATGCCAAGGTCGGCATGCCATGGCACAGCATTGGCCAGCATGCCATGCCACTACCTTGGCCAGAATGACAAGGCCGGCATGGGCTTGGCAGAATCAGCGGGGAAAGAAGATCCTGTTGAGCTTGACTCTAGTCCCACTTTGTGAAATGACTTGAGAGATGTAGGATAAGTGAGAGCCAGAAACGGCAAAAGTGACATGGCATGCCAGCCTTGGCATGCGGGGCAGCGCTGTGGCATGGCATGCTGGCGACGGCGGTAGCATAGCATGCTGGCAAGGCCGTGTCATGGCACGCTGGTGTTTTTAAGGAAGTGCACAATTGAATTATGTTGAAAATTTTAAATTTGTAAAATTTTCAACCGCCAAACCGATTCGTATTCATCTGCCAATCCACATCCGCCAGATTGGCGAACGGATGCAAATTGATTTTTTCAATCCGCCAATTTAGCGAACGGATGACAAATTTGAGGTTTCGTGGCAACAACCGATCCGCGCCCACCCCTAATAACATTATGAGCATACAGTACTTCCAGATCAGATTTGTGTGCATATGTTGAAATACATGTATACATGTATATATATGACTATTGATTTAGTTAGTTCACTAACAATGTAGAACACATAATTTTCAATAATCTAACAAAAATCAACAGTGAAATCAAATGAAGTATCACAGAACACAAAAAGAATTTTATTAAAAAGAAAATAATGCTGCAGAACCAGTCGAAAACTACTACCAAAATAGGTAACTTGGCTTAGAACCCAATATAAACCCTAACTCCATGGCAATTGTTCAGTGTAACCAAAGCAACACAACATTACTGTGAAATACGAGATGGATCATAATTATTGAACAGAAAAAAATGACAAAACCTAAAGAAATATGTAAAGTAAAAGCCAGAGATGAAAGAGAAACCCTAACAACCTCCATAAATACTCCGGATCAGCTCCTGTTGCTTCTCCACAGGCTAACCTTACAATTCAAACCACAATAGATCAACATAGGGAACTTTGGAACAGTTTAGTTGCAAAGAAATTAAAATTCAGATCTGAAATCCTTGATCAATGTAGGAGAGGGTTCAAGAAAGGAGTTGGAAAATTCGAAGATTGAATTCTCTAGAATATGATGAGAGGCTTAGATTCTTCAATAATCTCAACTTAGGAACGCAACAACAAAGGAGATAAGAGAGAGGAACCTGATAATCGTAGAATTTGACAAGGCGAGGCTTGCCTTGGTCGTTCATCGCAATCACCGCTCGTATCATTCCGATGATCTGCGACTCACACAATCCCAGCGTCTTCACCGCTCGATCACACACCTCGCTCTATCACAACAATCAAATTCCGAGGGCCTGTCTTCTGCTAAATTACGCCTTTCCCTTATCCATTTTGTCCTCAAACTAATTTGACTCTTAAATTTTTTTATTTTTCCACACCTTGATTCAATTTTTTTTTGTTTTTTTGTTTTGTTTTTTTAAATTACACTTTGTCGCCTTTGTTTAGGTGTGTTTTGGCAATTTTAAAAAAAACAGACAATTTATTGACTTCTTGATTAATTTAGGTTACAGTATATTTCTATTTTATTTTTTTTTTGCATGTTTTTTAAAAAATAAAACAAACAAACAAACAAAAAAATTGCCCCATTTTTGGAATTAGGGGAAAAAAAATTAGTTATTTAATTTTTTTTGACTTCTTTTTATAAAAACGTATAGAAAAATGAAAAGGTAATATAACTTAGAAAAGTCAAACAAATAAAAAAAATACCTTTTAACCTAATTGACAAAATAGGCCACTTCTTAATTTTGACTTTTAAAGTTTCTTTTTTTCTAATATTTCATTATCTCAAAATTTTCTCAATTTATTATTAAAGTTAATTTATATTTAAAATTAGATAATAATAAAAAAATGGAGAAATTTAGTCAAAACCCCCCATTGAACCATTGTTTGGGGAAAATGATAGCCCATTTATTTTTCTTCATAAACTCTCTAAAAAGAAAGCACATAATTGAATAATGACAAAGTAAAATATCTTCTTCTTTTTTTCTTAGACAATGTTATGTTATTATGAGACAGAGTAATATATTACTGTCAAACAGAGTAACATATTACTATTACTGTTTACATCAATTTCAATTATAATAATTTTTTTGTAATGAATTTCATAGGTCAACATGGATCTTATTTGATAGATCTTGATGAGAGAATTTTAAAAATATCAATTTTATTAAAATCGACATCTATATCAAAAGTTATATTATTTTAAAATTTAATATTTTGATAAGAGTGATATTTGTTGGACTTTTCAAAGAAAAACTTTTTGTATACTTTGTTCTTAATTAAGATTTTATTATAAGGAGATTTTGACTAAATCTTTTAAAAAAATCTTACGTTAATTGTCACACAATATAAAAAATATATTATTACAGTCACCTCTCTTAACTCTATCAACAATAAATAGAAAGAACAACAAAATTAAAATTTGACATTTATTCCTATCGATGACACTATCCATGAGGTTCCAGATCCACATGGTGACCAATGACACCTCTTAGTAGTATGTTAGATGTCCGTATTTTGGTTACTCAAAGATGGAAAAAAGATTGAGAGTTCTAAAATTGGAGTTCTAGGGAGCTCTAATGGTGTATGGGTCTCACAATGATGTAATATTTGTGTCTTGTCTTTTATTATTATTATTGCCAAGTTATTAGAGTTCTAAAATTATAGAAATGTATCATATCTAACCTAAAAATATCTATTTGTTATCTATCACACATTGAGAAGATAAGTTATAGCACAACATATCCCCTTATAATAATATTTTAAACTCTTTTTAAATTGACATAAGAAAATATTTCACATGTTTGAGGAATCGTAATAAAATAATTCAATAATCCTAGTAAATCCTAATAATAGGGATTTATAAAAATGTCACCGATGGCTTGTAACACGGGCAGACGTGCACACAAAGGCACAGAACACGCGTTAATTAGTTAGGGACGAACTCACCATACTGGGACGCCATGCCTACACAATAGTTGCGAGCTGAAGTCAAGCTATCTAACCCGTGATATGATTTAAAGTTTAAGAAATTGAGTCTCGTCTGTTAACTTTTTAATTTTAATAAAAAAAAAATTATAAATTATTATATTATCATTTTTTATTTTTAAAAAATTTTATTTTTTCATTTTTTGTATTTTAATGTTTTTAATGATTTTTAAAAATATTTTAAGTAATTTTTTAAAAAATTTCTAGATATACCTGACATAAATACATTTAAAAAGTATAATATTTGTAAATTAAAAAAATCACTAAATATCAAAAAAATACAAAAAAAATACGAAAATTCAATACATTTTTCTTATATTTTTATATATTTATTAATTTTTTGAAATAATTTTTCACAAATGTTTTACTATTTAGATACATCTAAGTAAGGTATATCTAAAAAAATAAAAAAAAATTACTTAAAATTTTAAAAATATTTACTAAAAATAAAAAAATACGAAAAATAAAAAACTCAATTTTTAAAAAATTAAATTCAAAAAACTGAAACTAAACACACTAATTTTATTTTATTTTATTTATAATTTTTATAAAAAAATTACTAAAACAATCTATTCCAAAATTAAATCAACCATAGAGATATTTTAATAAATGTGTAATTTACCCCGCTTATTGTTATCCAGTGGAGCCAGTCTATCTGTTTCCCATTTCTATGATGTTATCTTCTCCTCACTACCACCCCACCATCCAAATCCATGTCTCCACCCACAGCCCCAATTCCACCACCACTCTCCTCCTCCCCTTTTCCACCACCAGACTCTCCCACCTCTTCTCCATCTCTTCATCTTCTCCCAATCATCATCACCACCACGAAACCCATCAAAACCCAGACACCACCGCCACCTCCAAAGAAATCTTCCGAAAGCACAACGACAAATCAACAGCCTTCCTTCTCCACCACCTCTCAACCCAACAACAACAACCAAAACCCCAATCTCAACCCCTTGGGTCCGAACAAGTTCACTCCATACCCGAAGAAGACAGAGTGAAGCTTCTAGAAATGTCTCTCGTACGCAAAAGAACCCCTCAATTTTCAGGCTCTATCTACATACAGTCCCCAAGCGACGACGATGTGATCTCTTCTCTGCCGCCTCTTCGCAGCCTATTCGCCGGCGCTGAAGATGAAGAGATGATATTCAGGGCGGTTGAGATTCGGCGCACCGTGACGGTGGAGATTTTCAAGGAAGCGATGAGAAAGGGCAAGTTTGGGATTACTTATTCTACCAATTTGGTTTCTAGGTTACCTGAATTTATTGATTTCGTGATGATTAAAGCTGCTTCCATGAAGCAATTGGATGAATATTCACAATCTACATTCAATGTTCGTGCCAAAACATTCATTGATGAGTCTAATGTTGTCCCACTTATCAGGTACAATGACCAATCCACCTAAGAAAACTTGCTTTGATGATACATAGTTACGGATTAATTTTCACTTTTGTCCTTAAATTATTTTTATTTTTTTTATATTTTGTTTCTGAATTGTTAATTTCATCTGTTTAATCGTTCGAGTTTCTGATTTCAGTTTATATAATCCAATGGAAGACAACTTGTTGAAATCAATAACGGTTGAAAACTAAGCTAATGAGCAAAAATGTAAAATTTTGCAATTTAGACAATGTAAATCATATAACCAAATACTTGTCTTCTTACTCACACTATATTAACAACTAGTAGCCTACAATCAAACACTCATCTTATTTTCCACCAATCACTTCCAAATAGCGAGTAAGAAAAATGAGTGGTTGATTGTGTGGGTTAATTTGTTTAAATTTTAAAATTATCTTTTTGCCAATCAAATTAGGCTTTAATGGTTATTGATTTGGACAACAGTCTCCAATTAGACTGCATTAACTAAAATTAAAAATTGTAGAGACTAAATAGAAGAAATTGATAGTTTAAGGATGGAAAAATAACAATATTTTAGAGAATAAAAGTGAAATCAACCTATATTTATGCATATATATATCCATGTCTTCTTTGTGGTATAGCAAATTCATGATTAGTCCTAGTTTATCATGAATATTATTTCACAAAAACAAAACCCAACAAATTTATCAGAATAGTTTCGTTTGCGGTATGATTTTTGATTCTTCAACTTGGCTCCATGTATAGTAGAAATGAAAAGGAAGGGAAAAAATACTAAGACTTGTCTTTCTTCTTGTGGTTACTGAATTGTATAGGTGGTTGAAACACAATTCACTGTCATATCCTCAAATTGGGAATCTCATATGCATGTCAAGAGGAAATCTTGATGCCATAAGGCATGTTGCTGATTGGTTGAAGTCAATTAATGTGAAGGGGAGATTCATCGGGGTTGCATTGGTGAAAGCAGGAGAGAATATTTTGGAGCTCAGTGATGAAGAATTGGATGAGATTGTTGGTTATCTAGAAAGCAACGGTGTGAGGAGGGACTAGATGGGTTATGTTGTGAGCCAATGTCCTTGGTTGTTGTCTTACAGTATGGACGAACTGAAGTCTCGCGTGCAATTCTACTTGGATATGGGTATGAATGATAAAGATTTTGGAACAATGGTTTTCGATTATCCCCAGGTGCTTGGCTACTTCTCTATGGAAGAGATGAAGCAAAAGGTATTAATCTATGGTTCATCCAACTTTATTTATACCCTTTTGCAACTTCAAATTTTGATGATGTGAGCTCTCATGTATGAAGTAATAGGAGTATCGGTAATTTGTCGATAGTTACTAATCTTAACAATTCTTATTATTTATGGTGACTAGTTGCTTTCCACGATGTTTTTTGATTATATTGCCGTTATTGCTCTCTTATTAGCATTTCTTCCAAAGTAAGAGAAAGAAAAAGGGAAAATATCAAATAAGTACTATTGACTCATGTGTTGATAGGACTCAATGGAAACGTCATTAGAAAAATAGAACTTATTGGATCTTTTCAAGAAGAAAAATGTGAGTGCAGGTATTCCTATAAACAATTTCCCATTGTTCTGATCCAAAGCACCAAACACCATCTAACTACTACCAAGATTGGTTTCAGTGGAACGTTCTTTTACAATAACTACTGAGTAACGACCAGCCATATTTTAGTTAAAATAGCGAGACATTTTGCGTTGTTCGTTCAGGTAGGTTATGTCATGGAATTTGGCCTTGGCAATGAAGATGTTGGTAGATTACTAGCTTTTAAGCCACAACTGATGGCTTGCAGCATTGAGGAAAGATGGAAGCCACTTGTCAAGTATCTATACTACCTTGGGATTTCCAAAGATGGTATGAGGAGAATACTTACTATCAAACCAATGGTTTTCTGTGTTGATTTGGAGAGCACCATCGTGCCAAAGGTATGCTTTCACTTCTTGTGCTTTGCATCACATGATTGAAATCTATTGTAAACGGAAAGTATGTTGAAAGGCTACTTTTGCGGCTGACCCCAAGAATTCCTTTTCTCAGTTTTGTTCACATTTTTATTTATGCACGCGTATTACAATTAACCCAAAATGCTACATGTTGAAATTATGCAGCATTGTTGTCAAGCTTTTATCACACAGATTTTTTTCCCGTCTTGTGAAGGTACAATTTTTACGCGACATAGGTGTTAAAGAAGATGCCAGAGGCAACATGCTTGTCAAGTTTCCTCCATTACTGACGTACAGCCTCTACAAGAAAATCCGCCCCATGGTTTGTTTTTTTCTTTTATTTTTGTTCCTGTCATTTCATTTTTAAAGGTAACTTGCTTCAATACTTCTAAAGAAAATCAAGTTAGCTTAGATATATTCTCTAGAGCATATTATGTCATGACTATCAATTGTTCCCATCTGCTGATAGTGATGGATTTAAGTATGATTTTGCACCTAGAACTATCTTAGGCTATGTTTTCGAACCTTGAAAAATGCATAACAATTTAAGAGTGATTGATATTTGAATTTCTTGTAGGTCGTATTCTTGTTGACAAAAGCTGGAGTCACCCAGAGGGATATTGGAAAGGTGATAGCTTTGGGGCCGTAGCTCTTGGGGTGCAGCATAGCACATAAGCTGGATGCTAATGTGAAGTATTTTCTGTCACTTGGCATTCCTCTTCAATTATTGGGTGAGATGATAGCTGATTTTCCCATGCTACTCCGCTACAATATAGACGTCCTTCGTCCCAAGTACCGATATTTGCGGAGGATTATGGTACGCCCTTTGAAGGATCTCATTGAGTTTCCAAGGTGAGCCTTGCTGATGTTCAGTTTTTTTCTTTTCCTTTTTTTTCATAATATTAATTATATCTCTTAAATTTTGTTCAATGATCAAGCTAAGTTATTGTTGATCAGACATTTCAATTAGAACATGGTCTTGTGCATTTTGGAGGTGTCAATAATTTCTTTCGGGTTGAATAATCTTTATTCATAGTTTATTAGTTTGCCAATTTATTATCATCTGGTTTCTTGATTATGCAAATGATAATATGTACAGGTTCTTCAGCTATTCCCTTGATGGTCGTATAATGCCAAGGCACAAGATTCTGGCAGAGAATCGGATAAATTTTAAACTGCGCTACATGTTGCCAGGCACTGACGAAGAATTTGATCGGAGGGTTCATGCTGCAGTGGAAAGGCGCCAGAGATTTGAATCCGGTGTCGTAGATAACTACCCTTCTGATTCTCAAACTGATGGCTCCATAGAGAGGACTTTGGTTGATTTTTCTGTAAATGATTATTCTTCCTCTGATAATCAAACAGCTGAGTGCTCAACGGAAAGTAAGCAGTTGAGTGCATCAGAAAACAAGATTTCTCAAAGATTGTTGATTTCAGAATAATAATAATAAAATAAATAATTTATATGATTCCTGAGTTTCTTTTCTCAATAGCTTGTAAAGAACTCATAAATGCTCTCCTCTTTTGTTTTTTTCCTTTCTGTAAATATATATAGCTCAACACAAAAGAAGAACGATTTTTTCGTAATTGTTATCTTGATGGTAGAAAGTACTGATAAACTTTCTCAATTGCTATTGTATATCCTTTTCTGGATTTTACATAATTATTATAAAAATATAAATATAAATAAAAAAGTCAGCCCTTGTTATGTTAGCTAATTACCCTTATTCTCCAAATCTCGGCACGTGGCAATGACATGCCAACGTAACCATTTTTTTAGTCCAATAGATGAGTACCACAATTTGCCTACAAAAATTCAGCTGCAGCATGAGCTGTACAAGCACAGGCCACTAAAGTAGAGCATCAAATATTTAACATTCCATGAACACAAAAAAGTAGAAACCTAGGCAGTGGTCTTCAGCTTAGGAACTGCGTCACCACTTGAGTAGACAGGGTGGAGCAGATGGCCTTCCTTGGGCTCAACATGCACCCACTTTCGTCCACTCAACTTATGTCGTTCAAACTTGACACAACCTTCCTTCATAGCATAGAGGGTGTGATCCTTCCCCATTCCGACATAGTTTCCTAGATGGAAGCGGGTTCCTCTTTGGCGAACAATGATATTCCCAGGAATCACTCTCTGCACAATGATGAGAATATACTTAATGACGTGATAAAGGTTTATACAAATAGGAAAAATATGACATCAGTATTTGACTCACCTCTCCACCAAACTTCTTCACCCCAAGATTCTTTGGTTTCGAGTCTCGCCCATTCTTTGTGGATCCTGCTGTCTTTTTAGTAGCCCAGCGCCTGAATGTCAAACTCAATCCTCCTCCAGTAACATCTAAATTAAACGTAATAGAAAGGTCAATAAAGCAACAAACCAACAATTTACAGAAATACCAAATTCTACAAAGTAATAGGAAAACTTTACCACTAGCAGTGCTGTAGATAGGAACATTTGTAACTAGCTCATTGAGATTCAATCTTCTACAAAGTGATGACACAAAATTCATCTTGTTATATTCTCAAATAAGAAGATTGAACCTGAAAGAAACACCAAATCAACATAAAGGTTAAAACTTTGATAAAAATGTCAAAAAATTCCAGCATCCTGGAGAACTAAGGCAACCAAAGGCACTTAATCCTATTGTTCAGCCATGGCATTGGAGCTGAAGCTGTTTAAGCATAAAATTCATGAAAAAAAAAAATAAAAAATTTCATAACCTAAATTATTCAGCAATGAAACTCTTCCAAGAAGACTTCTAATATTGTGCATTTTATTTGTTCCATTTTTAAAGCCACGCAGCAGGTATCATATCAATCAAGTGGTGAATTGGAAATGGACCCTATTTTTCAATCAAGCTGTTCTTTAATCCACTCTTGCTTCTGTCAACTAAACAACTATGAGCAAGAAAATCCTAAGAAGTGACAGAGCATCCATGTTAGATTGATAAGCAAAAATAACTAGCCAAAGTGAACCCGGCCTCAGTACAACCTGACACCGGACAATATGTCGTGAAATGTGATGTAGTGATCCCGGTTTCGACCCTTCTTTCATGTTTTGCCACTTCGACTGGGCAGGTCGGGGGTCGAGCTGCCCGGTCAGCTCGCGGGGGTCTAGGGGGCAGCGCCCTTAACGGGTCCAAGGGCAGCGCCTTAGCGGGGATCGAACTGCCCGGTCAGCTCACGGGGGTCCAGGGGACCGCGCCCCTTGGCGGGTCCTGGGGCAGTGCCCTGGCTGGGTTGAGGGGTAGCGCCCCCGAAGCAAAAATGCAAAATGCATTTGAAGTTGCTTGTCCGCACGAGCGAGAGTGTAAGCCGCACGTGCGGATTTCAGGGGAGAGCAGCTTGCACACTGCTACAAAGGCAAGTGCGGGAGTGAGGTGCGGGAGTAGGAGAGATCCGAATTTTCTTTCTTTTTTCTCTCTCTTTGAGCTGAAGTTATATCACTTTTGTATACCTCTCTCTCTCTCTCTCTAAAAACATTTGCTCTTCCTTCTCTCTACATTTCCTACCAAAAATCTCACAAGATCTTTGATTTCTTCAAATCCTTTGGGATTTAGACCTAAGTTCTTCATTAAAGTTGGTTAACTCCTCAAGGGCTTCATTCTGTGCGGTGAAAATCGAGTTTCGACACCATTGATTTTGAGAGTTTCATCTCATTTTTTCTTCAAAACTTGAGGTAGGGATTTTCTTTGAGTTATATATATATTTTTGCAAGATCTAGATGATTTTCGAAATCATCCTTTGATAGCTTCTGAAAAATTGATTGTTGATTCAAGAAGTAGAGCAATTTTAAAAGTGGGTTTGTCTCTTATTCTTTTAAAATAATCTTATGGGTTTTGATTTTTGTTGATTGAAGAAAAGATGACTTTCGAAAGTTTTCTTTCAAAAGATTTGGGCTATGTAGTTTTGGTGAGAAAACCTAAAAATTGAAAATTTTAAAAGAGATTGAAAATTTATAAATAATATTGTTATATTAATTTTGTGTGCCAAAATAAATGATGTTTGAAAATTTTCTTCTTTATATTTGTAAAAATGATTAATTTCGTGAATTATGAGAATTGTTGTTCATTTTAGAAATAGTTATTCAGAATGTTGATATAGTCTTGAAATGACTAAATTGTTGAGAATACTTGAGAAGAGGAAATTGTGTTATTCCTTGGATGATGGAATAAAAGTATTTATGTTCATCTTGTGAAATTGACATACCATTTCATTTTATTCCATTAAATTTTGAAGGTTGATTTGAAAACTCATATTGAGAAAAGCATGTTGAGAAATAAGTTTTCATGAAATAGTTTTGGAGTAAATATGTTGATAAGTCTTGATAGGTGGTGTAGATGATATTGAATAAGTTGGCCTGAGGGTCCGGGGTGAAACACCGAAAACCCGCGCGGATAGGTGTCGAGCCTTCCGGTTAATACTGGTTAAAATGACAATTTGATAATACTCGTATAGTCTACTTGCAGACACCAGCCTAGAGATTATCAGAGTCGTATTTACTGCCCTCGAAATAAATTGTTAAGTTTTGAACAATTGAAATTGCATGACATCATTGAGCATTATGGTTTTCAAAAGATGAAAATGTGATTTATCTTAAAAAAGAGCATAGCATAGCATGTGCATTTCATCTCTTGAGACATGTATAAAATGTATATACTTTGTTAAGAATTTTCTACTGGGCTTTATACTCACCCTACGGGATTTTTGTGCAGGAAAAGATGTGGTGATTCCACCAAACTAGGGGCGTGGAAGTGTGTGTTGGGAGTACAATGCTCTCATTTCGCGTGACTCTGTTTTGTAAGCCAAGAGCTGTATTTGTGTGGGTTTGAATAACCGTTTTGTGTAACCGGGCTTAAGCCTTGGAAATTTGTAAACCCTTGAGGGTATTTATTTGTTTATTTACTTCTTGTTGGATTAATGTATTGTTACATGAAAAACTATTGTATCATGTAATGTAAGTTTAGAGATTTATATTCGGTTTTTCTTGAAAGAGTCATGATTGTTGTATTATTATTTGGGCTAAAAATTTGGGGCGTTACATGTGAAATCGGTGAATGTAAAAAATAAGAACTAGAACCCCTTACATAATAAAGAACAGATATTGAAGTACCATTTAAGGAGAGTTTTGAGAGAATATTAGGGCATGGGTCCACTTTTCAAATTCTTCTTGTGTAAAATAGGTGGGGCATGTATAGCCTAGTACACTCAAAAGTTCCTCAATCAGACACCCATATTGATCTACCACCCTTGTGTAACCTTTGGATCATTTATTTGATACAATTATAAAGTGCCCAATGCGCAATGTAAATAACAAAGCCTAACTAATCTTCATAGATAGATTTTGGTATAGCTTATCTAAGAAACACAATTATTGTATTGATTTTTCCATTTTCTTTAACAATAGCAATTGGTAGCTCAAAAATCATGCGGCTTGAATGGCCCGAGTTCTTTGTACACTCCTCGTTTATTTGTACAGCTCATCTCTGTTTTCACTCTTACATTTCATTTCAAATAAAAAAAATAAAAAACCATGAGAACAAAGTAGAGAGAGTGAGAGAGAGGAGACCCATTAGCGATTGGTAGCCCTGTTCAGAGAAGAGAGAGGAGTCGACCTGTGTGCCGCCGACGAGGCTGCTGTTGCTTCTATGTGTGCCAACGGGTCATCCCTCTCATTCCCCACATCTGTGTTCCCTCATCCCTCTCATTCCCTAGATCTCTCTCATCCCTCTCATCTCTGTGAAACCTTTCGATCGGTCATTGATCGCGGGAAGGAGGACGAACGACGACGAAGGAGAATGAACCATGACGAAGGAGGACGAACGACGGCCAGAGAGCGATTTACAGATTTCAACGACTCCACAGCCAAAATAATTTCATGAAATGGGATCCAAATTATTTACATTATCGGTCTTCCAGCAATGTATAACATGAGAAACAGAATACAACTCATGAATTTTTTTTTCCCTTGTTTGAATAGAACAAGTGTCCCTGGTAAAGAACAGTAGAAAAGAAGTAGACTACACATGAAACTACATCACTGGAAAATAGCATGCAAAGGAAAAGTTAAACCTATACATTTAATTAATTAAATTATACTGCAATCAAACAGAAAAGAAAATTTCATGTCCTCACACTGCAAATTAATATTGAGCGTGATATTAATATATTCATCTTATTAACTTCAGTGTCTTGCAATACATATCATATATAAGATTCCAAGTAATCACCTGGATTCACCTTGAATGGCAGAGGAGAGCCATTCAAGCTTTGGTTTTTATCCTCAACATGAAGTAAGAGGGATTTCAGCATGTTTTAACCTTTGTTTTGGCATGATTAGGCTTTGTCTAGAGCTGGTTTGTTTGTTTAGGCTATGTATTGCATACCTCTTATGTGAAGCCATTGACTAGCTTTGAGTTCTAAGGACCCTAACATGCTATACTTGTGTGGTTTGCATGATATGTCATCATTTGGCATATGATTTCAGTGCTTGTACCTTTGTCATGCTCTCATATATATCACTCTTTCAATGTATTTGAAAGTTAAACTTTGTGCCTTGCTTGCGAGCAAATGAATGAGTATGCATTTCTTGCTTTTTTTGCATAAGTTTTAGTGTGTTTTGGCCACTATTTTGGAGTATCTTAGGCTTGTCCATAGCTGGTGTGACCATTTGAGATCGATAGTGCATGCCTCGTGTAATATTCTTCACTTGCTTTAGTGCTCTCCCCCTCCTTTGACATGTCTTGCATGCATTACATGATAGAGTTTTGTGCATGCCGCTTTAGCATTGAAAGATGAGCATGTTGTTTGCATTGCATTGTGTTTGGATCAGACTTTAATCCAAACACAAGGGATGTGGCACGTTTCATACTCAAAGTGATGAAACGTGTTGCGTTTCTCGGTCGCTAACATCCTTGATCAAGCATGATAGGGTGGAGGCTCTCTTGTGTGTTATTTGTGCATTCATCAATATGGTGCAACATTGGCCTTCGGCCACCATGCATTGAGGTGCTTGGTTGGTGGCTTGAGAGCCGAGTGCCACGCTTCTTTGAGCTTGAGACATGATAAGGAGTGTGGTAGTACACACATTGCTTAGAAATACATTGATGTGCCTCTATTGTTCTCTATTGCAGCAAAACCAGCAGCTTGCAGAAAAACTAGCTGACCAGCTAGTTTCACTAGTCGGCCGGCCAGTTTTAGTGGCTGGTAGCCACTTTTTTTGGCTGGCAACCTACCAGCAGATCCTTGTGTTGAAGCAGAGGCATTCTGGAGATTGGCACAATTTTCAGAGATCAAGGCAAGTGAAAACAGAGGCAATTGATGGCATAGCAACGGATTTCCGAGTGGACGGCAACCGAGCATGCATGCTTCCCTCGCCTGCAAGGCCATCTTCTCTTTATTGCTTTATTAGATAGTTGTTTCTAGCTATTTCAATGTGTTGTAATTGATTAGCTTAGATAGTTAATTAATTGCTTTAATTAGCTTAGATTAGCTAATTTTTCAATTCGGTTTGTAATTAATTAGTTAGAATAGCTAATTAGTTGTTTTGTAATAAGTAGCTTAGCATAGCTAGTTAGTTTATTATTCGGACCCTTCGTCAAGAGGGCACAATGTTGTAATAAGGGTGCGTGTGTGTGTGCATATCTTCCAACCTCCATTTCTTTCTCCCTTTTACTTATCAGCTTTTGATGGTTAGTTTAGGGCACGTTTTGATTAGCATACCTTATTCTCACATGTGTGCATCATTCATTCGTCTTGCATGCACCAGGCTCGGTGCATCATTCAAACCACATTGTATTTCAAAACACTTACTTGAATACGTGTATCAAAATTGTTGCATGCATATTCCATCTTAGATAGCCGAGCCTATTTAGTTGCATTATTGCATGTGTTGCATTAGGCATTGTTGACATAGTTAGAAGCATGCATTGTTTTCTAACTAGTTTTTTGTTTTGGCTCGGAGTACACTGTGTGTGTTTACGCTTTAGCATCCTTGCATGAGTGTCAATGTTGCCATGATAGCATGCTTGCCATTAGGGATGGCAATTTAAACCCGACCCGATGGGGACCCGATCCCCCGACCCCGATTGGAATGGGTTTTCCCCGAAAATTATCCCCATAAGACCGGGGATGGTATTGAAAATTAAATCCCCGGTGGTTTTCAGGCAGGGGACGGGGATAGGTTCCCCAACCCCGCCCCTGGCCCGCCCTCGCCCCGACTGATCCCCGACTAATCCCCGTATAGTTATTTATATATATATATATATTATATTATATGTTTAGGCCCTCTCTCTCACTCACATCACACTCACTTCTCTCAGCCTCTCTCTCTCTCTCTGCTGTGTAGTTCTTGTGATGAAGATCAATGGCAAATAAGGTGTTTACAAAATAATTGCCGAATAAGGTGTCTACAGGCGACGACGACGTTCCCTCTGACGACTACGACGTTCCACAGAATCAGACCCTCCGACGACGACGACGATGACGAGCGCCAACTCCTCTTCCTCCTTCTCCGATGAAGGCCACCTCCTTATCCTCCGAGACCTCCGACGACGATGACGTTCCCTTTGCCACGCCAGATCTGAGCAGATGGATCTCTCTCTCTCTCTACTCAGATCTATCTCTCTCTACTCAGATTTGTGTGTTGTTGATGTTGTTTGATGGTATTGTTGTTGATGATGTTGATGTTGAGGATGTTGTTGTTACTACATTTTTTTTTTTTTTTTGGATCCGAGGAATTTTCGGGATCGGGAAAACCCGATCCCCGTTAGAGGACGGGGCCGGGGATGGTAATAGGTTCCCCATCGGGGATTGGGGCCGAGGACATTCTTACCATCAAGGATCGGGGACGGGCAGGGTGATCCCCAGCCCCGCCCCATTGCCATTCCTAGCTAGGATCCCATTATCACGGTGTATTTTCCACCCGACATGCACCCGAAATTTTTAAAAAACAACACCGCCCTCATCTGTCTTCCTATGTTTGCGGGTTTGGTATTCATTTATCCTACTCATTTGATATATATATATATATATATTTTTCTTTTTGCTATAAGTATGTGTTTTTACGGAAACTAAATTGAAAAATATTCATAACAATTTATAGTATGCTTCTGAATTTGACTCTACATAGATAGAATTATTTTTTGTTGAACTGAATAATCTACATTGCCTATTCACCGGTCTGATCATAGTCCGCTATTCCTTGACACTAGCCGAATAGAACCTTTTGGGCCGAAATGGGGCAGATTTGAGGCAGTTTGGTTAGCAGATCCGTCTACCCATGATATTATCCAAAAAATTTGGCAAAGACCCATTCCTGATGTTGCTTCATGTGTTCAGAGGCAGACCATTGTTTACCGACATTTGAAAAATTATAATACTTTGTCATTCAGGAGTCTCCAAGGTCAAATTGACGACATTCACGCTCGTCTCCGCCAAGTCCAAGAGTCGTTACCAAATCTGGGCTTACATTCTACTGAACAGGAGCTGCGGTTACATCTTGATATTTTGTTACAGAAGCAGGAGCTTTATTGGGCTCAGCTATCTAAACAACATTGGATCGCAATACAAAATTCTTTCACCGGATGGCGTCCTGGAGACGGAGTCGGAATCGCATTGCTCTCATCCAAGATCACGATGGCCATGTTCTCACTCAGCCCCAGGATATCCAAACTGCTTTTGTCGCGCATTTTAAGCACCTTTTTTCATCGTCATCGGCCTCTCACATTGGCTCAGGTTCCTTTCCCTCTCATTTTAATTTAATTAGTGTCATTAATACTCAATTGACTCCTAATCATTCTACTCTCTTGGAAAATCCATTTTCCACTGAGGAAATACAAAAGGCTGTCTTTCAAATGGGAAAGTTTAAGGCTCCGGGGCCAGATGGGTTTATAGCTGGTTTTTATCAAAAATATTGGTCAATTGTGGGATCATCTGTGACTGAGGCTGTGTTGGGTTTTCTCACTATCGGATTCTTATTCAAACCGCTCAACAAAACTTTTATCTGCCTTATTCCCAAAACGAAGAGTCCATTGACGGTTCATGATTATTGGCCTATCAGTTTATGCAATGTGCTTTACAAAATAGGCGCTAAAGTTCTGGCTAATAGACTTAGTCTAGTGCTGCCGGATTTGCTTGCTGATAATTAGTGTGCTTTCTTGAAGGGTCGACTTATATCCGATAATATTTTGTTGGCCCATGAAGTTATTGAATATATTAAAAAGCGTAACAAACAGGGGAGTTTGTCCTCTTTTGGATTAAAGTTGGATATGAATAAAGCCTACGATAGAGTGAGTTGGGCTTTCCTTGAAGCGGTTATGGCTAAAATGGGTTTCTCACCTAAGTGGATTCAATTAATATCTCAATGTGTATCTACTGTTCAATTTACTGTCTTGGTTAATGGCACCCCGTCGAATTTTTTTGAACCTGCTGCGGGTCTGCGGCAAGGCGACCCCCTTTCGCCGTATTTGTTTTTATTGGTGATGCATGTCTTTTCGGAAGGATTTGCGCATTTGGCGTCTCTTAACATCTGCCGTGGTATTGCTATTAGTCGACAGTCGCCCCCCATTTCACATTTGCTCTTTGCTAATGATTGTTTTATATTCCTCAACTATAAGATAGATGAAATTTGGTGCTTCCATTGGTTTTTAAATGCTTTTTGTCACTACTCCAGGCTGCGTATAAATTTTCATAAATCGGAGCTTTATCTTAGTCCCAATTTTTCACATTTGGCTAGGGACTGGCTGGTTTCTCTTTTTGGAGTTAAAGTTGTCCCAAAACCCGGCATCTATTTGGGGGCTAACTTGGGTTTCTCCGGGCGCTCAAAGTCGGACATATTTACTTCAATTTTGAGTAAAGTTAGCCACAAGTTACAAGGCTGGAAGTGTGATTTTTAAATTTTGCAGGCCGGGGTATTTTGGTCAAACACGTCCTTCAATCCATTCCGGTGTACCTTATGACTATGTTTCGCATGCCTGAATCATTTCAGCATAAGCTTACGTCTCTTATTCGTCAGTTTCTTTAGGCCTCTTCCTGGGGTAAAAGGGTATCTTGGAAAAAATGGACATATCTGTGTCTCCCAAAAGACTGGGCCGGATTGGGTTTTCGAAATCTTATGTGTTTTAACCAAGCTTTGCTAGCTAAACAAGCATGGCGGATTCTTTCATGTCCCAATTTATTACTTTCGCGAGTGTTGCTTGGTAAATATTGTCAACGGCGTTCTTTTCTTGACATTCGCCAATCTTCGTTCTCTTCATGGGGATGGCGGAGTATTTTATGGGGCCGTTCGTTACTCGCCTCAGGGCTTCAATGGGTAGTGGGGAACGGACAACGTATTAACCCATTTGAGGATCAATGGATTCCGATTGTTTCAAATCCTTGTAGAGGTCGAGGTTGGACTGCTATTTGTCTTGGGTTGAGGGTTGCACATTTCATAGATCCCTTGCTACTGTCTTGGCGTCTTGAGTTATTGAAATTGTTTTTTCCTGCATATGTTCTCTCTTATATTGTATCCATACACATCTCTCAAGTTGATATTGAGGACAAAATGGTGTGGGACCGACCAAAAGTGGCGAGTATTCAGTCAAATCGGGTTATAGGCAGGCGTTGACCCGACAGTTTCCCGACCATTCTAGGTCTGATCCGGATTGGCAAGTTTGGAAACGCTTATGGCAGATCAAGATCCCCCCTAAATGGATCTTGTTTGTGTGGAAATGTCTACATAATATTCTTCCGGTTAAAACTGAATTAAAGAAAAGGGGGATGCCAATTGATATTATTTGTTCCAGGTGTTTTCAGCATGTGGGTTGACTTTGGGTTTAGATTTTGGGGTGGGAAGACCTCTATCCTTTTTCTCATGATTTCAAGGCTGGGTGCAACAAATACATGACTCGGAGATTGTAATACACTCCATTGCCTTATTATGGGCCATTTGGATGCAACGTAACTCTGTAGAATTTCATAGAGTTGAAGTGTCCATAGAACGATCGATCATGTTTGCTTCCGAGTTACTAACATTATTTCTACCACCCCTGCACAATGTTCCCTATGAGATTTCTCACTCTAGTTCTTCTCCTCAACCCAACTTTGTTAAGCAGGTTATTTTGCAGACTACTAAGCCATGCATTGCTGCTGGTCCGCGTATACATATTGTTGTGGATGGCTCTTGGGTTGCTGTAGGTGAGCGCATTGGTCTGGCGTGGGTTTGCTTTGATTCTGATGATCACCAAGTCTATGATGAAGCTATTTTGGGACCTTCAATGTTATCTCCTCAACAAGCCGAAGCAGCTGCTGTTCTCTATGCTCTGCGTTGGGCAATCCATTCCGGCATCAATCATCTGCTTCTTCAAACAGATTGCCTAGTCCTTCTTCTGCTGCTCCACCACCATGCTCAAGAATCCGATTGGAGTCTCCAATCCATTCTGGCTGACATTTTGTCTGTGTAAATCTTTTGATCATGTTGTCTTACAAAAAGTGGACCGTCATGTGGTTCACGCTGCTCACCAACTTGCTACTGATGTAAGACTTTTGCTTAGTTAATGTTTATATTGCTGTGTTATCCTCAAAAAAAAATAAAATAAAATAAAATAAAATAAAATAAAATCGTAAAACTTAATAAGAGCTAGACTATTTCTTTGTAGTCTGATTTTAGTTCGATTCCAAAGGCTCTACCGTTCAGCTTATCTCTAAAATCTTATGAACACAAATTTATTGGTTCACTTCAAAATTGAATCACATTAGTCATAAACACCTAGTAAAATGACACCTAATATTAAAACTGAACTCCCTGATAATTTGACCAGTTGACAAGTGATTTCAAAATGAAATTTCAGTCCAAAATATTAACTCCTTTTGGATTATCAATTTCGATCAAGTTATGGCCTAGCCCATCTAAAAATGTACCTACAAATTACACAAAATTTGCTAGTCTGCCTTTGGCTTTCTTATCTGGCTCCCCGATAAATAGTGACTATTATATTTTTATATGACTCACCACTTACCACACAATATATGACTCACATATATATGAACATTTGAGAAATAGCCAAAGATTGAATGCATATGCAGGCAACACATCGAAATTCGTTCACAAAACTGGTGAGACTAACGTGCTGTGCCCAGAATTGAAGACTTATCAAATATTACAATCTAAGCTGGAACATTGCCTGGCATTTGCTACAAAATAAAACAAAAACTAAAATTGGGGTTTTCTTGTCATTAACCACTTTCAAAAAGGGATCAATTTGCAATTAATTCCCAAAGAGGGGGGGGCAACTATTAAAAAGGAAAACTTTGATATAAATATGAGGATAAAACACCACCCCATTCTACTCTATTCCAATTCGACATAGAGGGTTTTTCTTGATGAGACTAAGATCCACCTGCAAAGACCAATAATAATGATCATTAACATGCCACCCAATTTAAACAAAAGCGAGCTGCTTCCTCGTACTAAGTGAATGTAGTATATGTACCTTGTGACCAAAGAGATCCCGGATGTTATCAATCCCATACAATATCATGGTTGGTCTGATCCACAGAATAAAAGAAATTATCAATATTTTCGGAGAATATACTCCAGCAGTGCAGATTTACTTTGCAATATTTGTCATTGCATTTATTCAACCAAATATTAAATTCGTCAACATGATTCAGGACAATTCGATTCATCATTTCTAAAAAGATTCATGAACAAGATTCATCATTTCTAAAAAGATTCATGAACAAGAACGAGAACAACCAACCCAATAAGTTATACTTTTCTCATTAAAATTTCATATCCATTCAACAAAAGAATCAGTCCTCTCCACATTAGTATAAATAGGACTTGATGGAAATTTCGTAAAAAAACTATTGACTTATTTGATAATTTTCCCATAATAATTTCCTTACCTTTCTAGGGAAAGGCCCCATGCAATAACCCGAACATCTTCTGGGAGTCCCATCGGAAGCAGCATCTCAGGTCTAAACATGCCAGAATTTCCAATTTCCACCCATTTCTTTAGGCCTTCGTGATAACTGAGCAATTGCAGGAGAATTAATCTAGTTGCAGAGATACGATTAGATAAAAAAAATAGTATTATTGGCTACACCACATGCAACAGCCCCGTCAGATCAATTACAATTGATTACCCAAAAATTTCCATGCTGGGTTCAGTGTATGGATTGTAAGCAGGCTTGAATTTCAGCTTGGACATACCTGAACACAAGTGTAGTAAGAAGGGAAGTCTGATTCGTCAGAATGGTTGTTTGATATCTTCTCCGAAATCATGATTTCAATTATTATTTAATTTTCTATGCAAAATAAATGTATGTTGGTATTAAATAGTTTATGAACTACAAAATTGGTAAGCTTCATTTAGTGGGACTTCCAAATATAGGAAGTTTAGTGTAATCCATTCATCACTAAAAGAGAACATGATCAAAAGTTCAAGCGAGAGTAAATATTACCAAGACGAGTAAAAAAGTCATTGAAAACTCCAATTAAGTCGCCAAGAGTAAGCCCTCGATCACATACGAGCCCTAAAGTCAAAACAGAAATCCAGACAGGTTAAAGGTTTAGCAGAAACCATATAAAATCAACTACGGCGCCTTTGTTATTCAATGGAAGCTCAGTAATTCATCCATATCATGTAGCATTAAAAATAATTGGGAAAAAAAATCATATAGCATTTTGAAATAGAAATCCACTACTTGCTGGGTGCCACTCAAGGAAAGTGAAGTAACCAGTGAAGCATATTCAGTTTTAGGTCATGAAGTGTCACTATTTGCAAACTTCTCCATTTGTTTCATAACATCATATTTTCACAAATGGCCCACAAAGACTATGGATTCATAGAAGTGAAATGGGACATGACGGTGCAATTCAGAAGGTTCATCTAGCCTTGTCCTTTTTGCTTGCCTATCAGTTCAATTGGTGCAACTGGGTCGCTCCACATTAAGAACTAGCAAAATATGTTTATTGTTCACTCCTTTCATCAATTGGGTAAGGTAAGGGTTGGCACCTGAAGAAAATCAACCATCTTGAGAATCTAATAAAATTAAGTTTTGTTGACAATGTTACACAGCCCCACTAAATTTAGCTAAGAAGGGCTTACTCAAACACGTCCACACGAATTTTTAAAAAAAATGTAAGACATGACAAGTGGGGTACACATGCAAAACATATAATTTTATATATTTATTATTGTTAAAATCCACCTACTCTCCACCTACTTCACCCACTTAAACCTACTCCACTAAACCTAACCCACTACACCACTACCACCTCACCTACTCCACTAAACCTAACCCACTACACCACTACCACCTCCACTTCACCTACTCCTTACCTACTACACACTCACCCTCTTCTATATATAGGAATCATGAATCATTGTAATATATAACAATAAAAATCAATCAATAATACAATTCTCTATTTCTCTTTATATATTAAATTTTACAATTATGTATCATATATAAAGATAAATCATTATTATATGCTTATATATAAATATTTAAGTCTAATATAGTAATTTTAAAGTTTAAAGGAGTAAAATACGTATAAACTTGCCTTATTTTAGTTTTCTCATTGGATTCCAAGTTACTTTATTAAAACTTGTAACGTGTTTCATATGGGTGCAAGTGTTGGAAGTGTCCAACAAGTGTCATGTCATTTGTTGTGTTGATGTCCAACGTCACAACACATTACTTTCTTAGAACTGTCCACATTACTTTCTTAGAAGTGTCCGTGTTTTTTAGAAATTTAGGACTCTAGGTTAGTGTGCACTGAGGTGATATCAATTTTAGGCTGAACACATGTCAGCCATGCTACACCCCTTTAGTCCCTCATTCAATGCCTGGTTTGATGCTGAAAAGACAGCAATATGAATGGATTGCACCTCCAGTATTTCCACGGCAGATGCTTTTACGTTCATTCTTACACTTTTTTTGGGAAGCAACATTCATTGTCTCATACCTTCTATCTGGTGAAACTCTGCAAGGTGAGTTCGATCCACAGCTTCATTTCTGAATACGCGATCAATAGAAAAGTACTTTTTGGGAGCAAAACCTTCCTGGGAATAATAGTCCCTCAATTAATATTAAGAAATGACAGTAATTTACAAAAGCCTCAAAAAGAGAAGAAAAGTAAAAAGAAGAAGAGAAGCTCCCAAATTGATACTATGTTGGGTAAAACAATACCCATAGCCATAAGATCTAGCAAACATGTGAAGGAAAAGGATTCATACACTCATTTAGACTTCTGTTATCTGCCAACATGCACATCATACTTCACAGAGCATAATTCATCCAAATTTTATTTTTCAAAACTTCCTTGAAAAAAGGCCATGGGTGAACAGAACAGATAACCATCCTTTTTGTGCATTTACTATTTATAAAGAGCTAAACCAATAAAAACATCGTATCATTTTCCACAAGAAGTGATTAAACCCCTCAAGAGTTCAGCTAACCTAAACTTGCCATTCATGTCATCTGCTACTCAACATGCCATAGATCCCCATCAAATACTTAATTATTGTAATATCACTGGAGAAGCTCTCTCTCTTGAATGGTAAAAATTGCTAGTTATTACCATCATCAACCCGCAAGAGTAGGTATTATGTAATAACAGAATGTGCAGCTCTACAACATAATGCAGATAAAGCATATGAATTGAAAATGAAAAGCATATATTTATAGTTATTAGACAACATAACGCAGATAAACCTGTGCAAGCCGGTAAAGCATCCTTGAGGAAACAGCAGTTGTATGAGTTCGCAGAAGGTTTTTGTTTGCCTCCTCCCTTTTCCAATCATATTCATAACTACAGGAAAATAGATTTCATCTCACACACTGAGATAAACTATTATATTTCATCTCACACACTCAGATAAAATATTAGGGAAGAAAAGAGCTTATACCCCCTGGACCCATAGCCACCAAACTCATGAACACGCTTCACCCGCTCAACATAATCTTCAGGAAGAAACTTCGTCGTGGGAGGAACTATAAATATAATCACCAAAAAAGCATCAGAAAGAATCTACCAATTGGAGACACTGACGTTGAACTGAAGTCAACCAAACCTTGCAGGAAGAATGTATCATGAGAATCACGGGCAGGATGTTGTTGTGGCTGGAACAGTGCATCAAAATTCCAGAAGCTGCAAAGCCAAACAACAATGAATGCAGAATTAACATTAAGACTGAATGCAGTTTCCTGCAACAATACCGTGAGTTGTAAGCATTCAAACCCCAATGACAAAAACATATATAATGAAATTGTAATCTATCTAAACAAAGGCTCTATTTAAAATAAAATAAATAATAATAATAATATATAAAAAAGAAGAGAGAAAAGATCATGGGATCTCCAGTGTATCCCATTCAGCAAACCATTTTCTGTTCTTAACATCAACAAATGGGGAGGTGTTTAGAGGCACCTCCTTGTTTGGAAAATTACCAATACATAAGGCATAACTACAATGGAGTCAATATTATATAAGTTTTCACTGTATTGACGATGAGAAATTATTGACAACCACATCTTATTGTCATCAATCATCCAGGATTATTTGGGGAAAGCACCCAGCATTTGTTGCGAGTTGTAACCCCTTTGATGTACAAGCAAAATATTCCATTGAAATGTGCTATGCCCTAGCCTTCAGATACACTAGCTTCAAAACTATCTAGGTTAAAGCTAAAATAACTTCTTATCTGTTATCAGTAGCTCCGATGAACTATCATAGAAAGGGCAAGATCAGTTACCTGGAAAAAAGAAAAAAAAACCCAATAATACACATTAATGTGTGTTTGGGAGGGCAAAGATCAGTTACCTGCTTTCAACAAAATTGTTCGTGGGCATCTCCTCAAATCTGCATCCATTAAGTGACCAATTGAAAAGAACGTTAACTCCAAAAACATAGAGATGCATAAATAGACATGCACAAACACGTAGTGATGGTAGGATTTGTCGACCATAGCTTCCCTTGCATACCTTTTAACCTCACCATCTTTATTCATAACTCTTGGTTTAAAGATACTTTAATTCTTGTTATGCTCTAAATTCCCCACACACTTTGTATCTACGAAGCACGGACACGGACAAGGACACGGACACGTGACATGAAACGGACACGTTGACATGGCAATTTTTAAAAAATGAAACACACGACACGTAGGGGGCACACACAATATATAATTCTGTAAATTTATTATATGTCATATATATGAATATATCATTCTAAAAGAATAAATAAATGCAATACAACACTAATTGACATTATTTTTCTTTATCATCGTATTCTAAGTTATTTTATTTAAGCTTTAATTAGTTTCATGTTGTCTAATCAATGGACATGTTTGATTAAGCAATGGACACATGTGTCCTCCAAGTGTCCAAAGAATATCTTGAGTCTAAATTCATTTAAAAAAAATAGGACACGATTGGATGAGTGTCACACACATGTCTGGAAAGTGTAGGACACGGACACGAACACGAACATGGACACGGCACCTTTTTAGAAGTGTCCATGCTTCTTAGCTTTGTACCATAGATTGCAGTGGCAAATGGGCACAAATTTTACAAATTGGTGCGAATCTTTATGGGTGCAAGTCTTGACTGTGTTTGGCACAAATATCTTTTTGGTCTTACATGCTGAACTGATATTTCCCCAATAAAATAATAGGGTGTATGACATCACAAGTGTTAATATTGTGAAGACTCTAAATTATAGATGAATTGGTATATGTCGTCAAGTGTCAGCTATCGAAATGTAAGGACCCGTGTACCAAAACTAAAGAAAATATATGAAAATGAAAAGGTATCTAAGGAGGCAATGGTGCAAACTTTCTACCTTCACAAATTAATAGACACGTGCATTCAGATATGTTTATGACAGAACAATGATCAGGTCTTACCCCATCTGAAGAAAAATCATCTTGAATTGTTGTCGTACCTGAAATGAAGAGAATTTTACAAACGGTAATCTTATGAAGATATGCGACAACCATTCATTAATAAATAACCTAAGTTTCACTATGATTACTGGCCAACAAAAAGGTGACAGAGTTCCTTCACCAAGACTTTCGTTGCTATTGTCTTTGCTATTATTTTTTCTATTCATGAGCTATTATCTTAACTGTTGTCATGCAAAAGATGCAACTCTTATAATCTATCTAAGCCATTCAGCTATCTGTTGGTAAAATTCACTTATAGCTTATAGCCTTTAGACATACAGCCAGATACCACTTAATGAACAAACATTCACCGAGTGGCAGCCTTGACAACTCTTTGCAGTTCTCAAATAAACACTAGTTAAGCAGCACCTGACAGTCTTAGTGCAGGTGACTTGAGTTGGGGGCAGAACAAACGGTGCACCGTGTCATGCTTTTGCATCATTGGCAATATCTATTAAATTTTCAAAACCTTCATTGAATATACTCATATGTGCATTATTATTAGTAGTGGTAGTAGTAAATACTCGTGTGTTATATAAGGTAATTCTTTGTTACATTTAAATGCATGTTGTAACATGCACAAATCTGTGGCTGAAAAGGCTTCAATCATTATATTACAAGATCAAAGGCAAACATTAAATGTCTCCACATAACAAAGTCTTAACAAACATCGCCAAATTAACTGTCAAATGCAAATTCCAATTTTTTTTTCCTCAGTCTTAATTGAGGATATGCCTTTGAATAGAATCAACAGGAGAAGGATCCACGAAGATAACTCCAAAAAATTCAGAATGGTTTTCGAATTGAGTAGCAAATATCTCAATTTGTTTTCAAAACTACAAAATTCCTTGTTTTCTTTAATTATGCAGTTCAACCGTAAAACAATTTCCTTTCTTGCCTTTTACACATACATTTATTTTGAGTAGACTAAGTAAAAAAGCAAACTGGGAAAGAAATTAGCTAGGAGGGAGGAATAAAGAAAAGGAAAATCATATCCTTGCCTTGAGCAATGCATGGAGATGGCCACCTTCAATAGGTTGACCTTTAGCACTGAAGTTATATTCCTTGAATTCCATATCCTTCCAATCACCCCTTTGAGAGAGAGAGAGAGACACACACACACACACAAACAAATGTCAGCTTGACAAACTGTGAATGACATTCATGGTAAGTTAATATATAAGCAACAGACATCTCAGATGTAGCAGATAAGTAAACACCTAAGCTCTACTCTTCTCCTGTGGAATACACCAAGAGGCTACACATCCAATGGTGTAGATAATCTTACACATGAACGCCCAAGCTAACACCAAAACTTCCAACGGCACAGAGGGCATATGAGTAGCCATAACCATTAAAAGTATTCAAACATCAGCTAGGGGCATGCATGTTTAACAGACCAACATCAAGAATAGTTCATTCATTGACAACAGGAAGCACCTTAAAGAGCTGATAATTGAAATTAATTATTGTGCAGGAAGAGACCTCCTCAGCGAGAAAAAAACCTTTGGATTCGCTTTCCTTAATGCTATAAAACATACATATAGAGAATGACTACCAGTTCAAGATTCTACACTTCAAACAGCTTTGGCTTACAGATGAACATAAAAAGGGTTGAACAAGTCAATACCCCCAATAAGTGCCATAGTGAGTGGTTGGAGGAAAGACAAACAAAATCATATCTTTAATTCATAATGATACATAAAATAAGCATTGTCTTAAATCACTCAAAAAGCATGTCATTAAACCCAAATGTTTAATCATTGCATGCATAATACATGTCTCCAAGAAATATCCATTGATATCTGGATTACCTTTGCAGATTATCTCGAGTCAAATCGGTGGCAAATTTTTTCCTTTTTGGAGCATAGTTAGGACCTTTCCTTACCGAGTAGCCCTTCCACGTCCTAGGAAGAAAAGTAGATAAAGAATTATCAACAATAAACAGAATATGAGACATGTCAGAAGCAGAATTAACAAATGAAAATTTTCTCTAGTTTCACAAGTAACAACCCCAGCAGAAAGAATGGCTAATTCTTTCCGGAAAAGTTATCAGTTTCCACAACTGAAACGGAAATTACAAGCAAGCAAATTAAAAAAAAAAAAAGTTTGAAAAACTGGAAAGTAATTACTGTGGAGCAATGAGCTTTCGCTGTTTAAGAGCATCAATTTCTTTTGGGCCAATGACCTGTGGAATCACAACAATTTACGATACACATGAGGGAAACAAGTATACACAAAGTAGATAAAGCAGGAAGAAATAACTTATAAAAGTAGCTTAAAGTTGTTTGGCCATGCTCATCATATGTAAAGTTTTGGGCTCCGTTTGGTACGCTTATCAAATTATAGTTCTATCTATTGATTTGAGTGTGTTGTTTGTTTTGAGCTTTCAAATCATAATTCTACACCCATTTCTCAAAACTCAATTCAAAACATAATCATTACTTTTCAAAACTTATAACCAAACACATAATCCAAAACTCTTTTCAAAACTCAGTTCAAATCAATACTTTAATTTTGTCATCCAAAAAAAAAAAAATTTAAAAACATGAATTAGCATTTGCCATGTAATTTAAAAATAAATAAAACACATGAAAAACTATTTTTCAAAAATAAAAACAAATTAATGTATACAAATAAAAATGAGAAAAACGTAATTAAAAAAAGAATGACAAAAATACGCCTCATCTAAAAAAAAAAAGTTTTAAGTATTTTAATTTTTTTGTTATGTATTTGGTTATGATTTCAGTGTAGACTTCTGAAAGTAATATGGAGTTTCAAGTTATGTGTTTGGTTATGAGTTTTAAAAATAATTTCTTAATTGAGTTTTGTTTTATGTGTTTGGTTACGATTTGAGTGTGAGTTGTTTTTAAATTTAAAATATTAACATTTTAAATTATTTAAATTTTTTGAACATTTAAATTATTTAAATTTTTACGATTTAAAATTTTTGAATATTTATTTTAATTTTTTACTTATTAAATTTTTTAGATTATTTAAATATTTATGATTTAAATTTTTTGAATATTTATTTTGAAAATAATTTATTTCCTTTGTAGTATTTTCAATTAAAAAATTGATTAATATTATTTTTTGTTAATAATAATTTTTTTAATTGAATTTTAAAAAAAGTTTAGTTATGAGTGTTGATCAGAATTTTCAATAGTGTGAAAGTAGTGTATTTTGTTATGAGTTATAACAATTTGAATTAAGTTTTGAAAATTTTCAAAACTCATAACCAAACAAATTTTCTTACTTCACATGTCAAATCAAACTTTCAAAACTCAATTCCACACTCAATTCAAAATCCAATTCAACACTCTATTCAAAAATCATAACCAAACAAATTTTTCTACACTCAAATTATAATTCCACAACTCACAAACTCAAAATACAACTCATACTCTCAAATCATATTTACAAAACTCTACCAAACGCAACCTTGGTTTTTCATTTTTCTTTTTCTTTTTGAGTGAAATAAGTTCAGTAGTGAACAATTACAGGAATCTTGGGTATAAAGCACTAGATATAAAAATGCTATGAGATAGTTCTCAAATATACACACCAGTAATTTATTGTTATAACCCATTCTTGCATAATTATTCTACTATGGAAATATGGTCCTTGTTTTTAGAAACAAGATGAGTACCTTATATCAAACAATGAACATAACTTTATATTACCAGCAGTTTGTCATTCACTCTGGATGACTCTTGTGTATCGGGTAATAATAAAATTAGAAGATATTCATGTGAAATAAATAATATTAACACAAGTAATAATATCGATTTAAGTTATTTCAAGGAAAGGAAAGTTTCAGTCCTGAAACTCACAGCTGAAGAAAGTGGTAACTAATAAACTGAAATGATGAAAAAGTCAGTTTAAGTTATATCTTTAATGTTATCTTGCACATGTTGAACCTACAGCAATTGGCCAGCATTGGAAAATTGATGAGTAATGTATTGGTACAATAGATATGATGTATAAGTGGAAAAACACATCAATGCCAACCATATGTACTTTTCTATATGCACCATCATGTAATTGACCACGCAGATGAATACAAGAGAACCAGCTCTCACAAAAAAGAAAACTAGACACCTGAAATGGAGCTAACAAAACTACATGTCCACAACCTATAACAAAGCAGTTGGTGATCAAGTGAAACCTAACTCAGATTTTGAATCCAAGAATCAATCAAAAGAATGGGCAAATTTTATATAGTTAACTGAAAAAATTACATGAACAGAGAAAAACAATAGAGGTGTATATACACTTCATTCAAATGACATCTGCTACACAAATTTTTCAGAGTCCATGATCTTTGACTAAATTTTAGGTGATCCAGTATATAGGGTGTTAAATCCTCACTTAACATTTACATGCAGCATATTATTCCTAAGAAGAGCAGGTTTAAGAGTAAAATCATTTCAATTTTGATTGCTCTGCTAAACAATCGGACTAAGACGCGGCACCAACCACGTTCCCCAGCTCAGCACACCGAGATCTCCTATAGCCTAAGCGCGAGGTGCGAGGCGAGACGCGCGCCTCACCAAAGTGAAGCGCAAGTAGTAGAAGAAAAGCAAAATTATAAAATATACAAACTCTTCAACATAATAAATATATATATACAATTTCAAAAATCATAACAATTTCCGATAATCTTTAAACATAACATTCAATCTTCTAAAACCTAGAATATAATATCCAACAAAAGATAAAACATAACATTCAATCTTTTATCACTTTCTGCTCTCTTTTGATCATGTTTGGTCATTTTATATTCAAGAGTTTTGAATCTCTATGGGTATGCCCACCAAAAAAACACTTAATCAATAGTTGGAGTAGAAAAATAGGTAAACCCCATAAAGCCGACGCCTCGCGTATTGCGCCTCACCTCGACCTGTTCGAAGCGCAAGGCTGCACCTCACACTTAGGCATGCGTCTTTTAAAACACTGCCCCAACTCTCAAGGCAAGGTAAACCTTAACCGTTGTGCAAACTCATCGGACTTCCAAGTCAGTTCAGGCTCACTTTTCACACCAAGAAACTGAGTTTCAACACGCAAAAGACGAAAGACAAGATTCGTCGAATCGAGGATATCAACACCCTTTAAAATCTCAAAATTTAAGAAATCTTAATAGAACATAAGTAGCTCTTCCAGATCCATGTAATCTAAAAAATTTCTTTATGTTTACCTTTCTGGTCACTAATTGCTTTCCCATCTCCAACCATTGATTCTTTATCGCTTGTGAGCGACCTATTTTAAAAACCGCTGGGTCCATTTTCCTCTGCATGCACAAAGATCAACTTCAACAATACATCTTTGGATAAGCTAACTGTTGATCATAAATAAATCTTCTAGGAGCATAAATCAAATTTCAATTAGAAAACCAAATAAATATTTAACAAAAAAGCTCATATCTACACTAGTCTCTTGGTTGTGTTTGTTTGCAAGCAATTGGAAGCAAATGTTTTTTAAACAAGTCAAATGAATGTTACAGTCAATGCAAGAAATTTCAACTCCCAAGGACTGCATTCTACATCAAACCAATGCAGCACTCCCTACATCCAAAGTATCAAAATTGAAAATAAAATGGAATTACAGAATAGCTCATGGTTGTTCCTACATGAGAAATCCCATTATTACTTCATGTATTAGACTACAATTTCTAACTGCACATAACCTAATATACAGATGCATAACCTGCAATTCTTCCAGTGAAATACCCTCTGGTGGTATGGCCAAGAAAACTTGCACTTCAGGTGATCCAGCAGCAGCATATGTTCTCCCTTCCTCAGTAAGTACCCATCTCTCCCTCTTAATGTCCTGCACAATTACCATGAAGCATATGTAATCCACAGAAATAATATCTACAATTATATGACGTGATATGACCCAATAACGTCTCTTTGTCATTCTATTATACTAATGCAGTATTACCATGCGATCTGAACTCAGTATCCTGTCATGTTATTATCATAAGAGATAGGACGCCGAATAAACACGCTGAACTTGTTCTCTCATTAATCCCAATAAAAATGAACGTCAAAGAAGTTCAGAGAAAAACACGAGACATAAAAGACCTAACAAGAGAACCAGCTCTCACAAAAAAGAAAACTAGACACCTGAAATGGACCTAACAAAACTATATGTTCACAACCTATAACAAAGTAGTTGGTGATCAAGTGAAACCTAACTCAGATTTTGAATCCAAGAATCAATCAAAAGAATGGGCAGATTTTACATAGTTAACTGAAAAAATTACATGAACAGAGAAAAACAATAGAGATGTATATACACTTCATTCAAATGACATCTGCTATGCAAATTTTTCAGAGTCCATGATCTTTGACTGATTTTTAGGTGATTCATGCGCAATCAATTACATATGAGATTTTGATCAAATCAACACAATTGCAAAAGATACACATATATATACATATCAGAGAGAAATGTGGACCTGAGCATTGACGAATCTGAAACCATGAAGGCTCTTGATGATGTTGGTGAGTTCTTGATGATCAATTCCACGTTCGGAAGCAAACTCACCTGAGTCTGAAATCTCATCATTCTTCTCGAGGAAGCCCAGTACGACTTCCTCAGCCATCTCTCTCTCTCTCTCTCTCTCTCTCTCCAAACCCTTTTATCGCCTTTCCACTAGGGTTTTGTAGTCTTAGATCAAAACTCAAACACGCAGTGAGGGTGAGTATGGTCTGGATTAGAAGAAAACCAGGACCAATCCGTTATCCACGGTCCCTGAAAAATTAAAACCAATTCAATCCGTTTAAATTGTGGAACCAATCCGAACCAATCCGTTGAAACATGGATTGGATCGGTTTAGGACCACGGATTTAAATAATTAAATAACAAAAAAAAATATAGACAAACAATATAAGTAAATTGACAAAAATATTGAAACAAAAATATAGACAAAAATATATATTGAAACAATAAGCACCGAATAAAAGGTTGTATAACATCAAATTTTACTAAAAAGAAGTGATAAAAGTCTATTCATTTATCAATTCAAACAATACCTAGACAGATTGCCTCAGACTCTACCAAGCTTAATCAGTAAAGTCAAGACTTGGGAGCTCACAATGGATTCACAATCTTCACCAGCTAACACTAACAAAAGCCCATTTCCTTCACTTCACAAATAAACAAACTTAGGAATAATGGTTTGAAATATAACTTTTTGCCCCCAAAACTCATTTAAAAGATGAGGGTCCAAATTGACTCGAGAGATAACCAAGATGGTGTAACTTCAAACAAGATCTCAGCTTTCTGTTTTCTGATGTATTGTAAAGTAAAACAAATATACCTAGTCACTGCACACCTATTGAGAAAAGAAGATTTTTCATTTTTCACTTTGGACATTCTGGACCAAGTATAAAACTCGACAAGCATGGATTACATAAGAATCATTGAATAACAAATGCACAAAGAAGTGCATATCATCATGATGAAACCTATGGTTTCTAATCTCAACAAGCCAAAGCCTTAACTAACAAATTCACGGCCACCGATAATCTAGAACTCGTGAATCCATTCAATTGCTTTATTGTTTCACTCAGATGTCGGGTACATATTTTACAACAGAAAATATCACTTTAAAGCTTACTGCACTTAGCTAAAAATACAAAATTCAAGTACTCTCGAATTAAATACTGTCTAGTTCAAAAAAAAAAAGAACAAAAAAAGGATAAAAATAAAATGAAAACAGAATAAAAATAAAAATAAAAAAAGAAAAAATAAAAATAAAAATAAAAATAAAATCTCTTACTTACATTTACCGATTACATTTACCGAATCCATTGTAGATACCATGAATAATCGATTTGAGATTAAATCCACCGATCTGAGATGAAATAACAACAGTGTATTGTGTATGTTTTTTCATTGAGATTAAACCCATTTCAGATGAAATACCAGCAGTGTATTGTGTATGCTATTCATTGAGATTAAACCCATTTCAGATGAAATAACAGCAGTGTATTGTGTATGCTTTTTCATTGAGATTGTTTTTTCATTGAGATTAAACCCATTTCAGATGAAATAACAGCAGGAGCTCACCGAGAGAGAGAGAGACAACAGCTATAGCTACCGATCTGATCTGAGATGGATGATCTGGGAACACAGGAACAAAAATAGTGTCACCGAGAGAGATGAGAGATGAGAACAAGGAGGGAGAGAGAGAGGAGAGAGAAAGAGAGAGCTCACCGAGAGAGAGGAGCAGCACACCGATCTGCTCTGAGATGGACGAGAGTGTGAGAGAGAACTCAGTCTAAGATGAGAAAGAGAAGAGAGACACCACCGACAAAGAGATGAGATGGGAGCGAGAGACAATGAACTGCGGCGTGAATGAGTGACGCATGAATTAGGTTACATTTTAGTTTTTATAGTGAGTGACGCGTGGGTTAGGTTACGTTTTAGTTTTGGGCAAATTACATATACCTCTCTCGAGGTTTAGTTAAATTACAGATACTTTTTTGAAGTTTTAGAAATTATATTTCGCCTCTTGAGATTTATATTTTCATAATAATTTGTCTCCTAAGCTTTATATTTCATAACAAATTACCCCATAATTTCTTATGCAAATATAGCATTCAGGAAGAATTTGTAATTTCTCAAACCTCAGAGGAATATCTGTAATTTAGCCAAATTTCAATAGGTATATGTAATTTGCCCTTTAGTTTTTAGAGGAGACAATAAATTATATTTTGTAGGAGGTATATAGTATATATATAGATTATTTCTAGATGGTTCGGATCAGTTCTAATTCGGAATTGTGGAGTTCAATTTGGAATCGATTCGTGGTCTACGGATTTTGAAAATTTTAATCCGAAATCGAACCACGGATTCAAAAAATCAATCCAAATCTATCTGATTGGACTAGACCGGATCGGATAACGGATTTTACGGATTCCTTACTCAGCCCTAGCAGTGAGTTTATTTGGTTTGGGTCGAAACCTATAAAAAAAATGGCGGAGTTTGGCAACTTGGTTTTTGGATTTTTTTTTTTGATTTTTTTCACTACAAGACACATGTTTTACAAAATCAAAAAACAAACAAATTTAAACAAAATATCATATCAAATTTCAAAAAAAAAAAAAAAAAAAATCCAAACAAAATATCACATCAAATCTCATAATCATTTCACTTTTTCTCTCACAAGCATCACATCAAACCACAAAAAAACTCAACTATCTTCCCAAACACAAAATTTTTTATCTCCAATAATATCTTACAATTAAAAAAACCTAAAAAAAAATCCACTTCCCAAACACCCACAGGATTTGATCAGAACAGTAACCGCAAGGATCAACACAACACAACACAAGATAATTATAAAACAATTTAGGTCTTTTTAACAATATTCAATTTTAATTTAAAAATAAAAAATGTCAAAATGTCAATACTTTATATAAAAAGATTAAATATTTTTTTTAAAATATTTTTTGTACATTTTAAAATTCAAAAAATCTTATCAAATATAATAATTTTTTTACCTCATATTTTAGTTAAAAAATTACTAAAATAGTCTGTCCTCAAACGATAAATTATAAATATATCTTTTGATATTTGCATAAAATAGATATATCTCTTGTAATTCTAAAAATGGTGATGTTACATGCAACAATTAATGTACACACTAGTGTACCAACTAATGTTATGTCATTATTATTGACCCCACCTATTATACAAATTACAAATATTCAAAACCTCTAAAATTATGTTACATCATCTGTTAGTATACTAGCTAGTACATTAATTGGTACATATAGCATAATTCTTCTAAAAATTATATTTTGTCCCTTTAAATTTTTATTTGTATAATAAATTATCATTTTTATTGATAAATTATAAAGTTAATTAACTATTTTTAATGATATCATATATATATATTTTAATTAATAATTTATATAATTTTATTATTATATAGTGGAGTAATTATGAATTTTATTTTCCTATTAGTTCTATTAAATAAAAATTCTGACAAAAATAAATTTGTAATTTTTTGAATTACAAGGACAATTTATATTTTAAATAAATTTCAAAACCTATATTTGTAATTTTCTCAACAATTTAATATATAAACTGTTTGTACTTTTATCATTTCATAATTATTTTTGGGGCATTTACATACAAGTCTTATTTTGTGAACTTATAATCCATTAGGTCCTAGATAAAATTATTTGCTCCTTTAAGTTCCATTAATTTTTAATAGACCAATTTACAGAAATATCAAATTCTACAAAGTAACAGGAAAACATTACCACTAGCAGCGCTGTAGATAGGAACATTTGTAACTAGCTCATTGAGATTCAATCTTCTACAAAGTGATGACACGAAATTCATCTTGCTATATTCTCAAATAAGAAGATTGAACCTGAAAGAAACACCAAATCAACATAAAGGTTAAAACTTTGATAAAAATATCAAAATATTCCAGCATCCTGGAGAACCAAGGCAACCAAAGGCACTTAATCCTATTGTTCAGCCATGGCATTGGAGCTGAAGCTGTTTAAGCATAAAATTCATGAGGAAAAAAAAAAAAATTCATAACCTAAATTATTCAGCAATGAAACTCTTCCTCAAAGTTCTCAGACTTCTAATATTGTGCATTTTATTTGTTCCACTTTTAAGGCCATGCAGTAGGTATCATATCAATCAACTCAATCAAGTGGCAAATTGGAAATGGACCCCATTTTTTAATCAAGCTGTTCTTTAACCCACTCTTGCTTCTGTCAACTAGGCAACTACGAGCAAGAAAATCCTAAGAAGTGACAGAGCATCCATGTTAGATTGATATAGGCAAAAATAACTAGCCAAAGTGAACCCGGCCTCAGTACAACCTGAGACCGTACAATATGTCATGAAATGTGAAATCGGTGAATGTAAAAAATCAAGAACTGGAACCTACATCCACACAATTCCCCCCGAATGAGGTGGTAAGATAGAATGCATGTAAGGAGAGTTTTGAGAAAATATTGGGGCATGGGTCAACTTTTCAAATTTTCCTTGTGTAGAATTGGGGGGGAGGGGGGCATATCGATCTACCACCCTTGTGTAACCTTTGGATCATTTATTTGATACAATAATAAAGAGCCCAATGCGCAATGTAAATAACAAAGCCAACTAATCTTCATAGATAGATTTTGGTATAGCATATCTAAGAAACGCAATTATTGTATTGATTTTTCTATTTTCTTTAATTCCTTCAAAATATAAAATTAAAAACAAATCCAATTCATTTTCCAAAACCCCTCAATTTGCTGATACAAGCAAAATACTGTGATATTTTTTTCATGTCTCCTCCAGAATGCTAGACTCTGAAATAAGATCAGGGCTTGTTAAAAGTGGGTAGAAGCTAAGTCACATAATTATATGTGGGGCTTTATTGGCATTTGCTAAGATAAATATCAACAGTGTACCCAATAAAACAACAAAACACACACACACACAAAAAAAAAAAAAAAAACAAAAATCGATAGACCTTATGTTTGGCCCTTGGAAATGAAAGAATTCGTGAAAACCAAAAAAAAAAAAAAAAAAAACAAAAATCGATAGACCTTATGTTTGGCCCTTGGAAATGAAAGAATTCGTGAAAAAAAAAGGTTTCTATTTCAATCACTTTTCCTGGAAGGAATTTGTGTTGAAGAGGAGAGAATCATGAATAAAACCATAAGAGAAGAGGCGTACCATTGAACAATCTCGCCGCCGATCGTGTTGCTGAGAGAGAGAGAGAGAGAGAGAGAGAGAGAGAAAGAAGATGAGCGAGAGTAGGGTTTTGCCAGGGAGAGGGTTGGGTGCTGTGAGGCGATTGACAGCTTTGGTGTTGTGCCCTTAGATGACGTAGTTTGACGGATATTTTCCAAGTCGTTTCTCCTTATTTAAACAAATATACTTTCATTTTCTGTCAATTATCAATGCCAACTCCATTTCATGTTTTAATTTCGGAAAAGTCTACAATGTGCACCTTCTAAAAGGGCATATGATATGCACTTATTGTGTTCTCCATATTGTGCCACGACATAAAAAGTAACTTGCTAAACAGGTCATTTAACAAGTTACATGAAAAAATAATAACTTTTTTTAAACATCATAACAATTACTATAATGAATTATAACAATGTCATAATATGCATTACGGTGTCATAACAAAGACACTATCAATCATAACAATATGGCAACGACTCATAACAAATATAGTTATTTCTAACAAATTATCGTAACATTTTTTATTATAATTCGCCATAACAAATCATAACTTTTGGTAGTACAAATCAAAACTTTTACTAATGAATCATAACACATTGATTTAACTTTTTTTCCCACAATCATAACGACATTAACAAAATATCATAACTTTTACCAATGAATCATAACATATCACGTTGATTGTAATTTTGTTCCGAAAATCATAACATTAACAAAGCATCATAACTTTTAAAATTTCAAACACAATTAATTGTGTAATCAATTGGTATAGCATATAAGAGTGAATGAAAAATCATAATTGATTGCAAAATCGATTGGATTTAAAGACTACAATTGATTATACAATCGATTAGTAGGCAGGGTTTTGAACAATCACAATTGATTATGCAATCCATGAGAATATAAAGGAGATTCAAATATCACAATTGATTTTGCAATTAATTGTAGGGATCCTTGATATAATAAACATAATTGATTCAATAATCAATTAGTTTTCATAAGTCATTACTATCAATTTAGTCAAGATTTGAATAGTAATTGGTTGGTTGATCAGTCACCACTTTTATGTAATTATGTTGTTGTGTTGTCATTACCTCAAACATTATCATTAACAAAAACGCAGGACACTCCAACTAGGTTAACAGATGCTAACATAATTTAATATGAAGATTTAATAATTTTAATGAAGGTCAAAGAGGAAATATTATTTTGCCTCTCATACTATTACTGAAAATTTAATTTAACCTCCGTTATTTAATAATATTAATTTTACACTTAGTTTATTTGATTTTGGATTAATTTTACCCCTACTGTTAGCTTCTATTTATAATCCAACGATAGTTGCTAACATGGAAATGAAATTTGAAATTTCATTTTACCCTCTAAACTTCATTTTATTCAGAAAACTAATTGATATTTTGGGTGCCACATGAGCAACTTCTATTTGATTATAGACCGTGATTGATGGTAGAGTAAAATTGATGCGAAATCGAATAGTTTAGGTATAAACTAGATAATGTATAAACTAGATATTATTAAGAGAACAATGGTTGGATTGTTTTCTGAGTTATAGTTTGAGGGGAAAATGATATTTTCTCAAAGTGAAATTTCAATAATTTTTTTAAAAAAAAAAAAAAAATTATAGTTGGAGGAAAATAAAAAATAAAAAGATATTCATAAATTTGCATAATTATTTGACCTCACCAAATTTTAAAAGGTGGATTACGTCGATCCCCATAATTTGGATTTGAGAGCATTGTTTGGGCCCTACGAGGGCCATCACGGGTTCTATTTTGAATCCAAACCATTAATTTTGTTGGGTATTGTGTATTTCATTTACACAAAAAGATATAGCCATCTGATAATCGTAACTAATTCAATTTAGGGTTCCTCTTTGTATCGGATTCATATGCACTACTTTTTGTATCCTACACATTCCTATCCTATTAATACTGCAAACATTCAACACTCAACAATCCAGATATGGCCAACGTTTGAATCAATCGCACAAAGAATCAGTGTTATCAGAGGCGAGCCTAAGCGCTCGCCTAAGCGCTAAGCGAGGCGAGGCGAGCCTTCGGCGCTTCATGCGTGCTGAGGCGAGGCGAAATGGTGAGGCGACTCAGAAGCGCCTGAAGCGAGGCTTAGGCGATGAAGCGTGAGGCGGAAGAAGCGGCGCTTCATCGTGTTTTTGCCTGATTTAAGTGCGAAACATCTGGGCCCTTGATCGACTTCGTTCGAATCATCTGGGCCCTTAATTGACAAAGTTAATTACGAAATAAGAAGCCAAACCCTAGATCGACTTGGTGGAGTGCATCGTCTGCCGAAGTCGAATCGCAGCATCTGGTCTTCTTCTGCCGAAGTCGATCACCTGGGTCTGCTTCTTCCTTTTTCTTCCTTTCTTCTTCTTCTTTCTTTCTCCTTGGTTCACTGTCGGACCTGTTCGACTGCACCTGTTCTTTGTTTGACTTCACCTGTTCTTTATTCGACTTCGACTTGAAGAAGAGCACTGTCGAACACTGTTCGATTTTGAATTAATCCATTTTTTTTTTAAAATTAATTTTTAATTCGCAAAAATTAATTTTTAAAATTAATTCAATTATTTTGAAATTAATTTTTTTTCAATTAATTCAATTATTTTTTTTTCTTCTGTGTTAAAATTTCAATTAATTCAATTAATTTTCTGATTATTTTAATTTCCTGTTATTCAATTAATTCAATTAATTTGTTTAATTCAATTAATTTAATTCAATTAATTTCCTGATTATTCAATTAATTATTTTAATTCAATTAATTTGTTTAATTCAATTAAGTCAATTAATTTGTTTATTTTAATTCAATTAATTTAATTCAATTAATTTCCTAGTTATTTTAATTTCCTGGTTATTCAATTAATTATTTTAATTCAATTAATTTGTTTAATTCAATTAATTTGTTTATTTTAATTCAATTAATTTGTTGGTTATTTTAATTTCCTGGTTATTCAATTAATTATTTTAATTCAATTAATTATTTAATTCAATTTCCTCGTTCTTGAAAATATTTATATTTTTGTCTATACCATTTATTTTAAAAAAATATCGTTTCTGGTCGCCTCGCTTTGATGAAGCCTCGCCTCGCCTCGTCGCCTCGCGCTTAGGCGTTAGGTGACTTGTCGCCTCGGTTCGCTTTTCGCCTTAAAAAACACTGCAAAGAATTAATCTCATCAACTCTTAGACACTCAAACATTGACGGTATAGTTTCGTTGCTCCAGTGAAGATCTGAGACTAGGAGATTCTCTCTCTCCGTCTCCCCCTATGGCGCCTCACATGCTCCTATGCACACAGTACACTTATTTCACCATTGACCCTTTCTCTCTCCTCTCCCTTTAGTCCCCAATTCGCAGAATCAAGTATTTCTTACTATCCCTTCCGATACACACCGTTATATATATTTTGTTCCTCTTCTTTGATAGAGTGAAAGTTTAATTATGTATATATTTGACCCTTTTTTTTTTTGGATTGGTTTTTGTCCCCTGTTTTGAACATATAAATTAAAGAAAAGCTACAATCTCTCTTTTTTTTTAATGATTTATTTCATAGTTTTGATATTTTTTCAGTCTATTGCATAATGAGTGCATGCATATATATATATATATATATATCCATATTCAAATATGAGTCTTGGTTAATTTGTAAATAAAGATAATTTACTAATTTTGTGCTTTAACAATTCAATTTTTATGCTTTGTTCTGGATAATTTTCTCTCTCATTTCACTTATTTGATACAATGGTGGTTCAAATGTTCAGTATATATATTGTTCCCTGTTTTTTTGAGTTGCATAACGAGTGCATGCATATATATCAAATGGCGAAAATGGTGTACAAGAATCTTGCTTTGGAGAAGTGAGATTAATTTGTCTATTTGACATATCTAAGAAAAATAACAATAATGCTAGAACTAAGTTAATGCACTAATAAATTAACAATCAATATAAAATTGAACCAACCATTGTATTAAATAAGTGAAACCGAGAGAGAAAATTACCCAAAACAAAGCAACTAGTCCACTCATGGATACAATTAATGCAAAGGCTCATGCAAAGTTCCAAAGAAATGAAGACTCTTTGGTGTATTTTCAAGTGAATCAAGTCAAGACATTAGTGGTTTAGTTTGTGGTTATTATGTTTTGTTTAAGGATGCATGGTATAATGTTCTGTGTAATGCGTTTTATTTAAGGATGCACTGTGTTTTTGGTAATTATGTTTTGTTGAAGGATGCACTGTGTAATGCTTGCTATGTTGTGTAATGCACAAATTTTTTATTAATAGTCATATCTTTTTTTTTTCTTTCTCTTTTTTTTTTTTTTTATTGGTGAGAAAAAAAAATGTGATGGAAAAATTTATTGAATTAGTGACAAAACATTGTACATCCCTTTCTATATATGAATTGGAATTTCATTTTTTGAGTTATAGATGTGAATTGGAATTTCGAGCTTGTTTGAGCTCGAGCTCATTCGAGCTCATTTATCGAGCCAAAACAAGTCGAGCTCAAGCTTTTAAATTAGCCAATGAGCCAAGCTCGAATATAATTTCTGAAGCTCGACTTGATCTTGAACCGAGCTAGAGCTTCCCTCATTTTGACCGAACCGAGCCGAGCCTGAACATCTGAAAGCTCGGCTCGGCTCGTCTAATTTGCAACCCTAACTATAATGGCAACAAATAGTGACAGTGTCCACACTTAGGGTACTACAAAAACAAAATTAATATAACTTGAGATAGTAACGAAAGATGTGTTAACATGTGATTTAACCGATATTACGGCCCTTGACCGAGTAGAATGCCAAACAAGATTCATGTAGCAAGCCCAAATAGTTGGGAGGGACAAGGCTTTATTGAGTTGAGTTGAGTTGGGTAGAAAAAGAAAAGAAAGAAAGCATTTCTACTGTCCAAATATAATATATACTTGTTATGTAAATCATTTTCTATTCAAATTGTTATCACAAATGCAACTTCTTCTATAAAATTACAAAATCCTAGGTCCTAAGATACAATATAAGATAAAACCACACAATGCAACACAAACAAAGATCAACACTCAACTTAGTACTCCCTCCATCCCACAATGTTAGCACCTTCTAGGAGTTCAAATTTTTCAAAGGGACATACAATTAAAGAAATTCAAATTCAAATAAAAAGGCATTTAGTTTTTCAGATTCCCCTTTTATTCCCAGTCTTAAATATATTCAGCCACTTATGAGGGACCATTTTTGAAAATTGTAAAATTTTATGCTTTGACTTTCCAGAGAAGACTAACATTTTGGAACATTCCCAAATTGGGAAAAGGACTAACAGTGTGAGACAGAGGAGTACCCAGATTGACACTAGAACCACATTTGTACGGGGTAAGAAGGGCTAGGATTGGCCCATTAGTTCCATATCAACCCTTATCCTATGTTTGGTGGCCCTTAAATAAGGTTGAGACTAATTGTCCTCCTGGACAAATAATACTATGTAGACGTCATTATTTAACACAATGGGAAGGGGTATATTATTGATAACGGAACTATGCCAGTCTTTGGTTTGGATAAGGCTCAAAATGACCAGCATACAGTTTATCCTTTCAGTAATTCAACATAGAAGGGACATAATTGAGTACAAAATTCAATTACCCACACATCAGATTTCACACACTCAAGCCAAATTTCAAGTATATATATCTATCTATACTATTATAAAGTGAACACATAATATGGTGTCCTGAAGCTTCACTCTCCTCATGCCATGTGGCAGTATTTTTTATTTTTTAAAAAAAAGTTAAACAAAGAGATGGGTAAGGCTTGAACCCATGACCATGGGTTTAAGTACAACGATTCATACCACTTAAGCTAAGTACACATTATAATATGAACTTCAGAGAGAGAGAGAGAGAGAGAGAGAGAGAGAGAGACATACCTTGAGGTGAAGTCGAGGGCACGTTGTGTTCGCGGGATAGTCTTCGAGGGTGAAGAAGAGCTTTGGAGTCGTGTCTGAAGAGTGCGAAGAAGAGCTTCGGAGTCGTCTGAAAAATAAGGGCTTTAGGAAAACAAAGTGAAGAGGGTTTCTGAAAAATAAGCTTTTGTGGAATAAATAGCCCTAATAATTGGACTTAAATGAGTCTTGTTGAAAATAAATTTTAATAAAACTGTCATTAAAAATAATTTTTTTGTAATAATTTTTTATATATATCGCTAAAAAATGATAATTAGTGGCTTCTTTTGTTATTATTTTTTTAAATTGTCATTAAAACTTACAATTAGTGACTTTTTTATGACAAATTTTTCTCATAAAACTTATTAGACAATAAGTTCACTTATTAGGACTTACACGTAAGTGCCCCTAAAGAAAATTGTAACCTGTTGAAGAGTATTCAATATTTCTAATCAAACTGTTTAATAGTTGAGATTAATTTGTAAATATCTAATAGTTTAAAATAAATGTGTATATGATATACACTATTTAATGAGAGTAATGTAAGAAACACCAAATATTCTACTAAAAATTTTATCAAATGTTTTATATGGGTGTGAAACTCACATAATGTGGATCTCATATAAATCTCATACCCATGTAAAATATTTGATAAAATTTTTAGAATCTCTTAACATTTTTGATTTAATGAGGTGCACATCTTAACAATCCCCTTTAATTTTTTCAAATAAATGTAATTAGGTAATTGGGTATAGGTTAACTTTGACAAGTTCAACTTGAGGAGTATGTGGGGTTTATTATAGATCATATTTTGGTAATTTAAATTTTCAAATTTTAAAAATTATGAAAAAAATTAAATCGATTTAACAATTGTAACTATTTTATTTATTGTGTTTCTCTCTTAAAAAATGGACAACAAGCATGTATTAAAAATAAATCATTTATTTTTTTGGACACAAACACCATAAAATAAAAATGTTATGATTATTAGATAAATGTAATTTTTTATAGATGAAATACATGAAATGCCTTAAAAAATTAGTAATTTAGATCATTGAAATAAGATTACTATTGATGCCCATAAGCTTCTCAACTCAATCCTAATGAAAGTAAAACGTAATCAAAATTTATCCTAAAAGTAACACGTAAGGTGTAGATTTAAAATTACAATATTGTGAGTTATATGTAAAATAAATTTTCTTTACATATTTAATTCTTAGATCATGTTTTTTGGCATGTGACACAACTATATTCGATTATGTATATATATATACATGATAAGAGTAATGATATAGAAATACAAAAATTGTATATAAAACTAATGGAGAATTATACAATACACACTGTGTGGGTGATTTTCCGACCACACTGCCGAACAAGTACCCAGCTGGAGAGTACCGGTAGAATAGATTAAGCCCGAACGACCTGCAACAGAAAGAGAAGATTCCGGCGGTGGCTCATCCACCCGGGATACTCCGACGATCAAGTCAGTACTCCATATCTCTCAAAGATAACCAATAGTGCTTTAACTCACTAGACAGAATATCAAAAGCATACCTTAGACCCATGGGGTGCCTCTCTTTTATAGCCAATACAATCCTAGTCTCAATAGGAGCCTAGCCCTAATGAACTTTGGATTACTGCTAATCTGGGACTCCCAGTGGGATTAGGATAAACTCTCTAAGAGTCTTATATCTTTACCCAAACTGAAGTCTTCTCCCAATCTAGGACTCTTGTCCCATATTCGCTTATCTCGGATTCCGGTATTCTTGCAGATAACCTCGGTCTAGCCAAGATTATCTCGGCATCATTACCAAGACACGTGGCACCTCGGCTGACACTGCGGTGTCACCTTGGCCACGTGTTGTCATTCAAAATTTATGTCCCCACACACACCACTTAAAAATGTATGTACCATATGTTCTAGTTGCGACGTTTATAATTTTTGGTGATAACATATTATGATATTTATTATGACATTATTTTAGTGGTAATCCAAAAGATCTTTACGTATGCCTCATGTCAAGTTTTGTTCTAATTTTTTTTTTTTTAAAGTTATGACGAAATAGGATTTTATTATAACATTTATGATAAACGACATTACAAATATCTTAACTTACATATATAGCATTACCCAAAACAAATACACAATTTATAACACATCAATTTTGTAATTTTAAAATAAAAAATTCATCAAGGTTATTTATATTTTCAAAATTGTCACAATTACTTCATTTTTGTCAAAAAATTTATTTATACATTTTGTATTAATATTTTTTTTCATATAATAATCACAAATTTATGGCATAAAATGGACTTGGCAATCATGATGGACAACAAATGGAAGTTAACATATGCCAAAAGCAGTGTAGTTGGCCTAAGAACGTATATCTGATGAGGAGTTCGAAAATATCCGTCAAATTACGTGGTTTAGGTGCACAGCACCAATGCTATCAACGGCCTCACAAGCATCCATCCCACCTCCGGTTTTGTGGTCGTGCAAAACAATAAAAAAGAAGAACCCAACTTTTCTCCAATAACTGGAGGGAGTTGTTCGGCATCGATGGGTTTTGATTTGAACTCATATCGATAATTTAAATTATTTAATGTGTAAAATGCGTCAAATATATTATTTTTATACAAAAATCACATTGATCAAATATCGAAAACAATTTGATCATATCATATTTCTGTCACAATTTATTTTAAAAATTATTTTAAAAATATGATATAATCAAGTGGTTATCAATATCTGATCAATGTAATTTTTTACATAAAAAATATATTTGACGGGTTCTACACATAAAACATTTTGAATTATCGACAAGAGCTCTAATCAAGTCTCACAAGAGCCAAACAGCTCCCCGTAGTTACTGGATAGGAGCTCCGTCCAAAAAATAAAAATATATATATTACACAACGGGTAGATCAGGTCCATGCGAATCATGGTGTATTTTCCACTCAATCTGCACCTGATATTTTGAAAAAACAACACCGCCCTCATGCGTCTTCCTATGTTGCTGGACTGTCCAAATGCGGGTCAGGTCGGTTTGATTTGTAGCCTGATGTATTCCCATTGGCTTCTTCAAAACTCAATTTCATTCAGCTCTGAACAAGGTATTATTTATTCTATTCATTTGATACTTCTTTTTTTTGTTGGTAAAAGTATGTGTTCATACAGAAACTAAATTGAAAAATGTTCATAAAAATTTGTAGTATGCTTCTGAATTTGACTCTACATAGATAGAGCTGAATTTGTAGTATGGTTCTGAATTATTTTTGGTTGAACTGAATAATCTATATATAATATACATTTTTAATTTAAAATCATAAAACTAAATAAGAGCTAGACTATTTCTTTGTAGTCTGATTTTAGTTCAATTCCAAAGGCTTCACTGTTCAGTTTATCTCTAAAATCTTATGAAAACAAATTTATTGGTTCACTTCAAAATTGAATCACATCAGTCATAAACACCTAGTAAAATGATACCTTCTAATATTAAAACTGAACTCCCTTATAACTTGACCAGTTGAGAAGTGATTTCAAAATGAAATTTCAGTCCAAAATATTAACTCCTTTTGGAATTTCGATCAAGTTATGGCCTAGCCCATCTAAAAATGTACCTACAAATTCCACAAAATTTGCTAGTCTGCCTTGGGCTTTCTAACCTGGCTTCCCGATAAATAGACTATTATATTGTCATATGACTCACCACTTACCACACAATAGTTGACTCACATATATATGAACATTTGAGAAATAGCCAAAGATTGAATGCATATGCAGGCAACAAATCGAAATTCGTTCACAAAACTGGTGAGACTAACGCACTGTGCCCAGAATTGAAGACTTATCAAATATTACAATCTAAGCTGGAACATTGCCTGGCATTTGCTACAAAATAAAACAAAAACTAAAATTGGGGTTTTCTCGTCGTTAACCACTTTAAAAAAGGGATCAATTTGCAATTAATTCCCAAAGAGGGGGGGCAACTATTAAAAAGGAAAACTTCGATATAAATATGAGGGAAAAACACCACCCCATTCTACTCGATTCCAATTCGACATAGAGGGTTTTTCTTGATGAGACTAAGATCCACCTGCAAAGACCAATAATAATGATCATTAAAATGCCACCCAATTTAAACAAAAGAGAGCTGTTTATTCGTACTAAGTGAATGTATATGTATATGTACCTTGTGACCAAAGAGATCCCGGATGCTATCAATCCCATACAATATCATGGTTGGTCTGATCCACAGAATAAAAGAAATTATCAATATTTTCGGAGAATATACTCCAGTAGTGCAGAATTTATTTTGCAATATTTGTCATTGCAATTATTCAAACAAATATTAAATTCGTCAAAATGATTCGGGACAATTGGATTCATCATTTCTAAAAAGATTCATGAACAAGAACGAGAACAACCAACCCACTAACTTATACTTTTCTCATTAAAATTTCATTAAATCCAATCAACATAGGAATCAGTCCTCTCCACATTAGTATAAAGAGGACTCGCTAAAAATTTTATGAAAAAACTATTGACTTATTTGATAATTTTCCCATAATAATTTCCTATGAAGCACGGATACTCCAAAAATAGTGCCATACACGCACCGGGTACTTACTGGGTGCGGGTACGCATACCGGTACGACTGCACGCGTACCGGGTACGGGAAAAACCAGTCGGGTACTTATGCCTCAGTTGGGTACAGCTCGGGTACGGCAGGGGTACGCCTTTGGTGCGTTTTGGGTACGGCGGGGGCAGAAACCAAATTTTCTAAAAAATTGAGGGGGTACTGGAGCAATATTAAGAAAAATTAAAAAAAAAAAAAGGAAAAAATGTGTATACTGCCCTAATCTCATCACTTTTGTTGCCCTAATCTCATCGAAGCAAAGAGAGAGGCGACTTCGACCATCTCCATCTCCCTCTTCTGCGACTTCGAAACAGAGATCGACCCTCACTCACCCTCGTCTGCGACTTCGAAACAGCAGAGATCGATCGACTTCGAAACAGCAGAGATCGTCTTCGACTTCGACCCAGATATCGACTTCGACCCTTGACCCTCGACTTCGACGCAGGTATATCTCTTCATCTGTATTTATTTATTTATTTTTCTTGTTT